AGCAACTTTAGAACTCCGCTGACACTCTTTAGTCCACTCAAGGCACAGCCTGGGACAGCAGGACAGCTATACTATGACTTTTTATGCCATAAAAACATCATAGTATAGTAAGGTATAGAAAGTCATATTATAGTAAGGCATAAAAATGTTAAAAAAACATCGTAGTATACTGATGCATAAAAATTTAAAAAAACATCATAGTATGGTAAGGCATGAAAAGTCATAGTGTAGCAAGGTATAAAAATGTCAAAAAGTCAAAAAAAAGTCATAGTATAGTAAGTCATAAAATGTCAATAAACGTCATAGTATATAGTCAGGCATAAAAAGTCAAATGTCATAGTATAGTAAGGCATTAAAATTGTTAAAAAACATCATAGTATGTGAAGTCATAAAAAGTCATAGTATGGTAAGGCATAGAAATGTCAAAAAAACGTCATTGTAGNAGCGAGCAGCATAGCCAGGGTCTCCTCCTCAGTAGTGGAGTAATTTAACTGATGTCACTTGAACTTGGCAGAGAAGTAACAGACTGGGTGGTGCACACCCCCATCGCCCTCCTGCAGCAGCACAGCACTGGCTCCAGAGGCGCTGGCATCGACTCCAGCTGAAACGGCAGAGAGAAGTTGTGAGCAGCCAACACTGGAGCACTGCAGAGAAGACATTTAGCAACTTTAGAACTCCGCTGACACTCTTTAGTCCACTCAAGGCACAGCCTGGGACAGCAGGACAGCTATACTATGACTTTTTATGCCATAAAAACATCATAGTATAGTAAGGTATAGAAAGTCATATTATAGTAAGGCATAAAAATGTTAAAAAAACATCGTAGTATACTGATGCATAAAAATTTAAAAAAACATCATAGTATGGTAAGGCATGAAAAGTCATAGTGTAGCAAGGTATAAAAATGTCAAAAAACATCATAGTATAGTAAGGCATAAAAATTTTAAAAAACATCATAGTATAGTAAGGTATAGAAAGTCATATTATAGTGAGGCATAAAAATGTTAAAAAACATCGTAGTATACTGATGCATAAAAATTTTAAAAAACGTCATAGTTTGGTAGGGCATAAAAATGTCAAAAAACATCATAGTATAGTAAGGCATAAAAAATCATAGCATAGTAAGGTATAAAAAGTCGTAGTATAGTAAAGCGTAAAAATGTCAAAAATCAGAGTAAGGAATGAAAAGTCATAGTATGTTAAGGGATAAAAATGTCAAGAAAAGACACAGGATAGTAAGGCATAAAAAGTCATAGTATAGTAAGACATAGTACGACCTTAAAAATGTCAAAAACATCATAGTATAGTAAGGCATTAAAAGTCATAGTATAGTACGGCATAAAACGTTATAGTATGGTAAGGCATAAAAAGTCCTAGTGTATTAAGGCATGAAAAGTCATAGTATAGTAAGGCATAAAAATGTCAAAACGTCATTGTAGAGTAAGGTATCAAAAGTCATAGAGTAAGGCATTTAAAGTCATAGTATAGTCAGACGTAAAAACGTCAAAAAATGTCATAGTATAGTAAGGCATAAAAATTGTCAAAAAACATCATAGTATGTGAAGTCATAGAAAGTCATACTATTGTAAGACATAAAAATGTCAAAAAAACGTCATTGTAGAGTAAGGTATGAAAAGTCATAGAGTAAGGCATTTAAAGTCATAGTATAGTCAGACGTAAAAATGTCAAAAAATGTCATAGTATAGTAAGGCAAAAAAAAGTCAAAAAACATCATAGTATGGTAAGGCATGAAAAGTCATAGTATAGTAAGGCAAAAAAACGTCATAATAAAGTATGGCATAAAAAGTCATAGTATAGTAAGGCATAAAAATGTCAAAAAATGTCATAGGATAATAAAGCAAAAAAATTTCAAAAAACTTCATAGTAGAGTCAGGAATGAAAAGTCATAGTATAGTAAGGCGTAAAAATGTCAAAAAACATCAGAGTAAGGAATGAAAATTCATAGTATGGTAAGGCATAAAACGCCATAGTATAGTATGGCAAAAAAACATCATAATAAAGTATGGCATAAAAAGTCATAGTATTGTAAGGCATAAGAGGTCATAGTACATAGTCAGGCATAGTATAGTAAGGCATAAAAAGTTTTAATATTGTAAGGCATAAAACGTCAAAAAATGTCATATTATAATAAAGCAAAAAAATTAAAACTTCATAGTAGAGTAAGGAATGAAAAGTCATAGTATAGTAAGGCATAAAAAAGTCAAAAAATGTCATAGTATAGAAAGGCATAAAAAGTCATAGTGTAGTAAGGCATAAAAATGTCAAAAAACGACACAGGATAGTAAGGCATAAAAAGTCGAAAAATGTCATAGTATAATAAGGCAAAAAAAAGTCATAGTAGAGTAAGGCATAAAAAGTCGTAGTGTAGTAAGGCGTTAAAATGTCAAAAAATGTCATAGTTTGGTAAGGCATTAAAAGTCATAGTATGTGAAGTCATAGAAAGTCATACTATTGTAAGGCATAAAAATGTCAAAAAAAAAAACGTCATTGTAGAGTAAGGTATGAAAAGTCAGAGTAAGGCATTTAAAGTCATAGTATAGTCAGACGTAAAAATGTCAAAAAATGTCATAGTATAGTAAGGCAAGAAAAACGTCATAGTATGGTAAGGCATGAAGAGTCATAGTATAGTAAGGCATAAAAAAGTCAAAAAATGTCATAGTATAGAAAGGCATAAAAAGTCATAATGTAGTAAGGTATAAAAATGTCAAAAAATGACACAGGATAGTAAGGCATAAAAAGTCGAAAACATAGTATTGTATGGCATAAAACGTCAAAAAATGTCATGGCATAAAAATGTCAAAAAACATCATAGTATGGTAAGGCATAAAAAGTCAAAGTATAGTAAGGCAAAAAAATGTCATAGTAGAGTAAGGCATAAAAAGTCGTAGTGTAGTAAGGCGTTAAAATGTCAAAAAATGTCATAGTTTGGTAAGGCATTAAAAGTCATACTATTGTAAGGCATAAAAATGTCAAAAAAACGTCATTGTAGAGTAAGGTGTTTAAAGTCATAAAACCTCATAGTATAGTAAGGCAAAAAAAAATCATACTATACTTTGGCATTTTATGTCATAGTATAGTGGCACTGAAAAATTAATAGTTTGTTAAGGTATAAAAATGTCATAGCACATAAAGGCAAAAAACATGTCATAGTATACTAAGACGTTTTTTTTTGCCTCACTATAATATGACATTTTTATGGCATAAAACATCATAGTATAGTGAGTCTAGTGAGTATAGTGGTATGGTAAGGCAAACAAAATTGCCATACTATACTATGACTTTTTCGGTGCCTTACTATAACTTTTTATGCTTTACAAGACCATCAGGTTTTTATGTCCTACTATAGTATAACTTTTGTAATGCCTTACTTTATTATGACATTTTAATACTTACTACACAATTAAATTTTTACACCTTACTATTCTATAGTATAGTAGTAGTAGTAGTAGTATAGTATAGTTATACTATAGTAAGTTGTTTTAAAATGTCATAGTATAGTATGGCATGTTTTTGCCTCACTATAACTTTTTATGCCATAAAAACGTCATAATATAGTAAGGCAGAAAAACCTGATAGTCTAGTAAAGCATAAAAAGCCATAGTATAGTAAGGCACTGAAAGAGTATTAGTAAGTAAAAAAAAATGTCATAGTATACTAAGACTTATTATTTTTTGCCTTACTATGATATGATGAAACATTATAGTATAGTAAAGCAAAAAAAAAAGTCATAGTATGGTAACGTATAAAAATGTCATAGTACATAGTCATAGTATATTAAGGCTTTAATGACTCTTTTTTTTACTATAACATGATGTTTTATGGCATAAAAAGATCATAGTATAGTAAGGGGAAAAAAATGTCACAGTATACACTATTTTTTTGCTACTATGCTAATGCTGTAATTTGCTGTAATAGCATTTAAACATTTTGATTTTTGAAGTATATTCATATATTACAGTCATGTGCACAGGCAATGTGTGTATGAAAATTATTTGTTCTCCTAAACCTGTGCTAAAAGACTAGTGTGAAAAATAAAAATTAGACAAAAGAAATATAAAGATAAAACAGAATTTTGTACATGCTGGAGTGCAGGTTGTGAGCCGTTCTGTGTCTGTCACTAGGTTCATCGTCATCACCTGGGACTGAAGTGGCCCGATGGGGATTCCTGCTTCGGTGACAGGTCGGTGATCATTAATGTCGACTGGACAGTTGACGAGTACAACAACAGCAAGGACTTGTTCTCATCTTTCTCCTCACTAAATGGACACTGCTTCAGTCGGCTCCAGGACATCCAGTTCGACCCCTAAAACCACAGGCTGCGAATACGAAACATTCCCTCCCCTAAACCTTTTTCTGTGACCCTGCAAGGATTTGTTACTTTGCCGATAGTTCTCAGATATTTTTGCCTGTAATTCCAGATGAGCGGTTTAAAATTCCCTGTTTAAATCACTCAAATTTTGAGTGGAAACAAATGAAATGCACTAATGCAGAACTACAGATTCCACATATCAAAATTAGTCTTAATAAGTCTAGATCAGAATGGTTTACAATGAGGCAAGGCGAGGATCAGACAGGAACAGTGGTTTGTATTAAAGGCGCTATTTGCAAATTTTGCTGTTGCTACATAGCTGTCTTGAGAGGTGGAAAGTAACGCCAATGTTAACTCTTCTCTCTATAACATCTTTTCTGCTACTGAATTTGCTTTGCAGAAATGTGAACAGCTTTGAGATGTATTCACATTACAGCAGAAAAACAACGGTCTTATACTGGGGGTTCTGCAGTGGTCGGTATAGTATTTACCACTCTAAAACTCCTGGTGGCGCCGTGCCAAAATGCAGCTACCTTAGCTACAGAAAATGTTGCTAGCAGTAGACTGCTACATTTGAGACATTAACAATAATATGCATGCTGATATTCCACAAAGAGAATATATTCTTAGTCTGGTCTCACTGTGATGCCAGTTGGTTATTGTAGAGTTCTGAAAATTTAGAAACAAGTAATAAGTTTTTCATCCATCAGAGGTCAGTACAGCTCAGAGCAAAGTTCAGCAAATCTGAAGGAGGAAATGCACACAAAAGTTTTTTTTGCTGCAATAATGTGAATATGCCTTTACTGTAAAAATGACTGACCAACTGGACATTTCTAGTGAGTGAAGTTGCTTAAATGTTCCATTAATATAATGTAAAAACTGTATGCTACAGCTATTTCATTGCTAATGAGGAGTAAATAAAGAGTATGTTAACATTTCTATTTAACAACCCGATTATTATCAAAGCTGCTTTATTGATAAATACATAGAAGCACAATATGTCAGAACTGTACAAATATAAAGAAATCTTATAAATATGCTACATCACCAGTTTCAGAACTTAGTATTAACAAAGAGGCTACAGGAGTTACAAGGTAAACTTCACACTATACAGGAGACATTTTTTCCTGACTTGCTTTAGGACTGTGACTAAGATTTCAAATTACATAAACTAAAAACCTCGATTGAGTCAACATTGCTATTATGTCAGTATTGAATATCTACGACTATCTAGAAACCTTCAAGTATCTGTGATCTTGGGATCTTTAGAGCTGAACATCAGTTTAGAAATGTTTAACACTAGTGCTCAAACAAAACCTGAGCTTCAGTACCAATTTCAATAAATCACTTTTAAAAAATATTTAAAAAATATATATATTTTTTTTTTAACATGACAAAAGAAGCTTAAGTTCTTAATTGTTAAATTTTGACTAAACAAAAGAAAACAAAAAAGTAAATCATTTAAATGACTGGCAAAGTAAACAACAACAAATCTGATCAAAGTTTTGTTCCCTGACAGTTTTTGATACTTAATCATACAAATATATTTTGCTGACGAGCATATAGAGATTTAAGTTGAAAATTACTTGAAATTTTCATGATAATGTCAATGTTTAAAGACCGGAAACCACTAAAAGTACGTTCAGGTGTAGTTTTAACAGCCTAATTCCACTAGAAAGGCACAGTAACCCTGAGCTAACTGGGCAGTTCAGCTTTAACCCCGAACTGATCACACACCTTCTTCAACTGCTCCTCCAGCAGGATGTTCTTCTTGACTTCTAAGTTGTAGTTATATTTCAAGTCCTCAATCTCATCAAAAAATGTCGGGTCAAAGTTTTCCAGTTCTTTCTTCAGCTTCTTCACCTCAGTTTGAAGTTTTGTCTTCTCAGTTTCAGCTGCCTGCAGGAGGGTTTTGAGCTTCCCGTGATCTATGAATAAAACAAACAAACAAGTGAAATGACTGTTGTTCTTCAGAACAGTTTATATCAAACATACGTTAACATAAGTTATTTTGACTGAACAACTTAAACTGGTGTCATAATGTGTAACATTATTAAACTGAAACCAAAATAAAGCTTCTTCCATGTCAGAAGTATGTGGCATGTTTTTCTCTATTACAAATAACAGCAGCTCTCTTTTTATTTGCTTACTTCTCAGTTTAAAACATGAATAAATCTCTCACAGCTTCATTCTCATTGTTTCCAGAAACAGCAGTGTGTCTGAGAGTCTCACCTAGTTTAGAAGACGTCTCCCCGTATCGCTCGCTGTACTCGTTGAGCTTTTGCTTCAGATCTACGTTCTCCTTCTGCAGCTCAGTGTTGACCAACCTTACAAAATAAAGCAATATTTCAGTTCCACAAGTTACAGAGTTAGTTATTAAGTGATAAATCAATTGTATTGTGATGATATTATGGTCATTTAAATTAGTAATTCCAAGTAAACTGTCTTGAAAAGACTGAAAGAAATTTTTCATTTTTCACATTTACAAAGGTTTGCTTGATGTGATGCAACAGTGCAACACTCCAACCATCTCTAGCCATATTAACCATCAGCGCACACAGTTTCACTTACCTCATTGCCTGGAACTCCTTGGTGAGCCCTGCATCTGTCTTTGCAGTGGTGGGAAAACCTTTTAACATGTCAACCTGAGAAATGACAACAATTTAAACACATTTCCCGCACATCGACTTTGACTACTCAGCCTGCGAAAACAGTTGTATGATATAATGTCCTCTGTGACTTCTGTGAGAGAGTTCACTTAAAGTCTGTTGAAACTACTCTTCATGATGTCACCAGCGTTATCTGAGCTTGGACTTGGACACTTGACATTTTTTAAACTGGGGTTGAGGAGTTTGACAGTTGTGAATAACCAGGCATGGAGACTATTTAGTTGCATCATGAGATGGGTGGGGCTCAGGAGGCTTTTGGAGCTCGACTAACAGCAACTAAAAATCAAGAGATTTGCTTCAAATTTGACCTTGATTTTTTTAATCTGTCTCAAGCAATATTAAAATGCTGGAGCACTTAAAAGAACGTCCCTAACTGACCTGTTGGTTTTCATAATAAATGACAAGCATGACTGAACAAAGCCATGATGATGATGATGATGATGAGCCACTGAATATTAGCCATTTCAAACTTGTGATTTGTTTCAAAACACCATTAATCTGTAAAGTCAACTGGACCAAAGCGGTCTGAACCCACCTGAGTAATGTAGCTGTTGTTGGACTAACTCTTGTAAAAAAAAAAAAAAATAGTCGTGGGAAAACATAACAATTTTGTTTGATACAAGCCTGCTAAAACACTCCAGTCCCCCCTGAGACGAGATAGAAAACCATCACCAGCTAGCCTGTGTCTGATTGTTGTTATTACATGAGATTGTTATTTAGCCTGTACCTGATCCTCGAGGCGCCGGATGCTTGTCTGAGCTCTGTCCTCGCGCTCGTTCACCTCCTTCAGCTGCTGTTTGAGTTCAGAGAGGCTGGAGGTTTTCTGAGACAGCTCCTTCTCCAGTTCCTTCATCTTGTTCTCAAACATTCTGCAGATGGGAAGCAAACAACCACTGGCTCACACTCTGTAAAATCTACATGTAGCCTGAAGCTTCTATAAGTGGATGACACAAGGTCTAGGTTTTGAATTGCCACTTGTCATGAATGTTGCTATTTTATACTGCTGGTTTATTCAGTCTGAAAGCGACATAACCCACCATTCATTAAAGCTTTGAAAGCTTTTAAATTAGCTTTGAACACCCACTCAGATACGACTCTAATGGATTTCATAAAGAACAGTTTGCTGACCTTGTTAGCACAGACGCCTTCCAGGTCTTGCTGTCCGCTCCCTCTGTGATGGGTCTGGACAGAGCTGCCCGAAGCCGCTGTTTGGTTTCTTCCAGCTCTGCCTCGAGCTTCTCGTTGTTCACCTCCAGCCCCGTTTTGGTCACTCTCAGCCTCTCCGCAGCCTCCATTTCCTGTTTACAACATGAAGCATGCACACCAGTTGAAACAACAGATGAACATGTGTATTCAGGTTCTATATCACAAAAACAAGCTGCCAAAAAAAAACTCTATTAAAAGCACAACATATTGTGGAACTAATATATGTAGTTACCCTTCTGATCTCCTTGCGTAGACGTTCATTTTCCATCACTATTTTCTCCAGTCCTTTGGTTTTAGACTCAAGTTTTAAACTGAGCTCGGCTTCACTTTGACTCTTCAGTTTCTCAAAATCAGCCTAAAAACAAAAAACAATATTAACTGTCAGTTGTAGCAACGGAACAAAGAAGTTCATCATAAACTTCTCCGACAGAAGGAGACACGATGTGGTCAGCAACCTTTAGTTTGTCGTTTTCTCGCTCCAGGGCAGCGATCTTGTCTTGATTTGCAGGTGCGCTGGATTTCTTTAGCGACTCATTTTCCCTCTGCACCCTCTCCACCACCTTCTTCATTAACCCAATGGTTTTCTCGAGTTCAGGTACAGTTTTACCGCTGTGACCAGTCTGATGAGGAACACGTTACAAATCACGCTCATGATCAACAGTTGGAACATTGAGCTTCTTTTCAATTTGTTTCTTATTAGATTAGATGTTTTTTAAGGTCATGGGGATTTTTTATTACCTCATACATAGATACACTATGTGTAGGTTTAGACTCCTATTTATGTGTCCAGTCATTTCCGGGAAAGTAATCATCTATAGAAAGACAATAGGTGACTTTAGGTGAACTTACTCCAGGTATATGAGACAGCTTTTTCTTCACCTCTGCCTTTTCCTTTTTCAGTGCGCTGCACATCTCCTTAAGGTCTGCAACTTGATTCTGTGAACAACAAAGAGAAACTGGATAAAATCACATGAAACACAAGTTGCTCTTGCCCAAATAAATGTTGAATCTTTTAAGTTACTGTGGGGTTAAACACATTTTTGTTGCATTGTTTTAAAGCTTGTAAAATGCCAATATGGAAACAAATGTGGATTTATGATGCTGATTAGAAATTGAAAAGGTGTTTTTCTCTAAATGTCAGACTACCTTAAAATGTCTTGCAATCAGCTTTGATATCGATACTGCTGATACTAGTTAACTGTTACATGTACCTTGAGTCTTGGTAAGTCTTTGTTGCTCTGCTCCAGCTGGAAGCGCAGCTCCAGGTTCTCAGAGGCCAGCTTGAGGTTTTCTTTTTGCAGGTCCTGATCTCTCTGTGAGGGGGTGCCAGTTCCCCGTCCTGAAGTCTGGAGGAAAGAAAAGATATAAAATGAGCCAGAGAAAATGATTTAAAATGTATGATTAGTTCAAGTGCTACAGAGGAAAAACTCCAAAAACAAAAGATCTAGGGGAGTGTAGAAAAACAGCTTTATTTTTGAATAAATATCCTTGTTCTTGGGGTCTTGAAACTGTCACACAACCACAGAAACCTTTAGTCCATGATGGACAACGCAGGGGAGGAAAACACCAACACGCTTACAAGCCACTTTACTACTCACTGTTCAAGCCTTGAGTTTGACTCTGCCACATCTACTGTAATGCTATCACAGCTCTATCACTTCAGCTGGGCGACTACAGAAGCCTGGAGTACCTTCAGATATCTAAGAGATCTGCTTTCTTGTTTTCGCACACGCTCGTCCCTTTTTCTACTGACGAACCCCGGGGGTTTGCTCAGTGTGGCGCTGGAGTCCACATCAGGGTCTGCTGAGCAGGACTGTTCTGGATTATCTTCCTCTGTTGCCTCCTTTGTAGTCTCAAATGCTTCATCTTTCATCTCAACCTGCTTGTCAGCCTCTTCTGCCCTGATCCCCCCATCATCATCTGCATCTCCATCATCTAGTTCTGCACCACGCTCTTTCACGCTCTCACAGGTTTCACCTCCTGTTGCTGCTGCCCCTGTCTCTGGGGATGACATAACTGATCCTGGTCTTTCTGACAGATCGTCAGGCTCATTTTCTTTTGTGGTCTGTGGTTGAGAGAGCGGGAAGTTTTCTTCCTTTTCTTCAACCACATCAAGATCAGAAGCACGTTTGATGCCTTGTGTTTGTGTCTCATCATCTTTAACATGATCAGTGTCAGCTCTGTCAGCTGCTGTTTTTTCTTCCACATCAGGGCTCGATCGCTCTTCTCCGCCAAAGCTGGTTTGAGTTTCTCTATCTGTCTGGCTCAGCTCTGGCTCCCACTGATGGTCAGTGGGGTCGTCAACAGCTTCAAGGCTGGCAGAGCCGCAGGAGGATACAGCAGGACGCAGCGCAGCGTTTCCTCTGCGTGACTCGTCCGCAACATCAAAAGTGACAGAACAAATCCCTCTCAAAGCCTGGAGGGAGAAGCCTCTTACCTTCACAGGCTATGAATCACATTCAATCCAGAGACGGAGATACAGAAGGAAAGAGAGTGAAGAATGATGAATAGAGAAAAACAGTAAACGAGAAACATCTTTGGCGCATTTACACTCCAGTCAAGTGTAACCCTTTGACTACACATAGGTGATCTCCATTTAACTTGTAATGTGACTCAGCTGTCTGCACCAGGGATGACTATACATGCAAACAGGTGTATTTATAATAGATTTAGATCTGTTTTCACTTTGTTTATCAGTGTAAAAACATCAATCAATGAATGTACAGCATTTTTGCTTGATAAATTACTTTAATAACAATCAAAATTATTTTTGCTGATCAATTCTAACTAATTAGTTTAAACACTGCAGGTGTAAGCATGCATTTATGTTAGCCTTTCCAAGCTAACATAAATGCACATTCATTACAGTCATTATGTGCGTTGGTGAGCGCTTACAGAGGGTCTTGACAGAGACTCTTTGGACGTCTGACTCTGCAGAGTGTGGACTCTCTCCTCCAGGTAGCGGTTCCTCAGCGTCAGGTTCTCCATGGCGTCATCACGAGGTAAAGCCTGGCGCTGTCTGCAAGTTCAACAAAAATATAAAAAGGTCCGTGTCTGGATTACATGACTCTATAACGAGCCTCAGCTACAAGAATTTGGTTTAAATTATTTGCAGTACGTTATTTTTTTTAAATCATACATGTAATTTAATTTAATCTCTCAGTCCATAACATGCTCATGTGTATCCAATAATGATGATAAGATTATATTATATTACAAATAATTACACAGTAGAATTCCATGAAATTAAGACATTAGATTATACAGTAGGTTATTTGCTTTTTATAATGGAAAACATGTTCTAAGTACACAACTTATAATTACAAGTATACTGAATCCCCATACACTGAAAAATAGCAAGATTTTTAAAGACTGGTAGATACTTTATGGTGAAGATCTGTCTCTCCAGGTCGGAGTTCTTCTTCTTCAGCTCCTCCATTTCTTTCTCCATTTCAGTGGATCTGACTCCCACCACCTGATCAGCGGTCACACCTCGAGCCTTCAGCTTTCTCTGCAGTGCGCCCTTCTCTTGCTCCAGTCTGCATACACAATAAAACGCAGAATAAAAACAGAGCGGGGGCCAACAGCTGACAGAAATGTAAAAAAAAAAAAAAAAAAAAAAAAAAACTGTGTACAGCTGTGTGACAGCTCCACCTGACAACAACATTTTGCTCTATGTTTTCAAAACTGAAAGTGGCAGCAGCTTTCTACAATCAGTTAGACTGAATTCTGTCATATGTCTTTCATAACAAGACACCATATACAGTATAAGTATCTACCTTCCTTCTTGACTTCGCTATTGACTTATTAGTGCTACATCGTTTTGAGGCAACTCATCGATTAGTTAAGAGCAAGATGAAAAGATGCTGCGTGAACACTGACCTGCCATAGAGGTCTTTCAGAGTGCTGAGCTGTTTGGACAGAGACTCATTCTCTCGTTCCTTCTCCTTCACCGAGTTCTTCACCTTTTCCATCTTAGCCTGCCATTTCTTACCCTCCTCCCACCGCGCTATTTCTTCTTTGGTCTGTAAGACAAGTAAACATGTGCTGAAAGGCACTACTACTACTGATGACACAATCATGCAGTACTATTTGATTGTTTAATCTTCAAACCTTTCCATGATCATCTTTGGTATTTTTCTCCAGGTCAGACTCCAGCCTCCTGATCTTCTTCTGCAGATTCTCGACGGTTGGCCCCTTCCCATCTGGTTCTGGTTGATTCTAATCAGTAAATACAGAGAAAGAAGATTCATAGCACCTCACTTTTCTCTGATAGTGTACTTACAGCAGAGACAGACGGCATTCCTAACAAGTGTTCCATTCCCTGCTTGATTCAATTGAGAGAAGTGAGGCGCAAACACTGGAAAGGTCAGGGTCACACCACATGGGATCATGTTCAAGATATGAGAGAGCGAGAGAGAGAGAGAGAGAGAGAGAGAGATTTAGCAAAAGCTCTGAGAAAAATGACATGCTAGGTGGCACTGACCCACAAGAATACCTGAATAATTAAATTAACTCTGATATCCACTGGAGGAAGTTAGAAGAATGTGAGATTCCATTCATGATGCATTCCTTGATACTTTTTTTTTTTTTTTAATTCGCTGTGGTAGGATTTTGCATGGCTTGCATTTCAATGTTTTATGCAATTTGAAGGTCAGAATGTCTTGCTTGAGTCATGTGGCTGTTGTTGAGCATATCACACTTCAACTTATGTAATAATAACAACAGTGACAAGACTGAGCTCCAGATCAAAGCATTACAACACCTCTTACACATGCTAACCTGAAGAGCGCTGCTGAGCCTCTTGATTTGTTGCCTGAGCTCCTGGATTTCCTGCTCCCTCTCCTCCTTCTCGGCCTGCAGGCGTCTCTGGGTTTTTTGACTCCTCTGAAGGTCCTGGCTCAAGCAGTCCACTTCCTCTCTAAGGGTGTTCTCCCGACCTTTGGCTGCCCTGACAGACTCCTTTGCAGTGTGAAGTTCTTCATTGAGGTCTTGCAACCGCACCTTTGGAGAAGAGAGATTTAAGGTCTGGTGATATTCTATATTTTTCTTATTGACAACAAATCCAGAAGAAGTCCAAAACCACACAACAAGTGATGCTACTGACTAATAGTGCCTGTGTATTCAGAGCCTGGTATTATCTTATTCCCCTCTGCCACAGAGCTCCATTATTGTCCAGAAACAACCAGAAACACATCACTGAGCCACAACGTTGCACTGGGTGACATGTTCCTTCATACAACAAATACCATCCGGTAAGCACATACACTGTCCAGCTACCATTAACATTCATTAGTGCACTAGGTACATACAGTAGGTGTATGTTAGTCTGCAGCTAAGACAGTCTACAGATGCAGTTGTTACTCCTGCTTCAGTGCCATTTGCTGGAGGCTGCACCTCCCTGCTGATTTAGTACATTTCAGTACATTACAAGGGGCTTGATGGAGCGTGCCAAAAGGAAGTAGAAACATATTCATTGAGAGATCGACCATTGTTGATTTTTGTCTTTTCATGGGATTTGTTGACATAAACAAAAATAAAGACTTGTAGCCAGACTTCCTCTTTAAGGATTTTTTTTTTCCTGGTTAAAAATAAATCGTGATAGTGTTTTAAATCTAGTTTCTGAATCTACTGTTGAAGTCTACCACATGTCAAATACGCTGTCTGGGCAAAGAAGCCCATGTCATGTAATCACCAACTTCACCAGGTAGATCCTGACTGGAAACCGGCACAGACCAGAAGCATCTACTAAAGGCTGCTGACAAGTATAAAAGCAGGAGTAGATGATATTTCTGCTGCTTTATGAAATTATTTATTTTTACCAGCCCTCACAATGTGTGGCTGGTATTGTTTTCACCTTGTGAGTCTGTGTGTGTGTGTGTGTGTATGTGTGTGCGTGTATCATCATGGCAAAATGAGACATCTGAGACACTTACTGTAGCTGGAACTACCACAGAGGCAGTTTTGAGTACTTTGACAAGTGTTTGTTTTGTAACTGTGATGGTGTAGCAGATACAATCATTAAACTTAACAGGTATGTAGTTGAGATCCAAATGAAGATGGGTGTGGTCTGACCCATGAGCGCCAAGTACTTTTGATCTTACTAAAGCTTTCTTTGTGTTCATCAGCTCAACAGCTATTCATAACTGTCAGTAATGAAACATAAACCACAACAAGTATGATCCGGTGAGACGGGGATCTCACCTTCAGGTCTTTGGTGTGCCTGTCAATCAGCATCTGCACATTGAGACTCTCTTCTTTCTGTGCAGCGCTGGCTATGACTTGCTGCTCTGCGGCTGATGTCATCTCTGCCCGCAGCTCCAGCAGAGCCTTACTGAGAGCCTGGGGAAACGCGGAACAAAGAGGTGTCAGTCATGATTAATATGATGAGTGCAGTGGTGAGACCTCAGTTAATGCATCATTGTCCCTTTCTGCATGGACGACTACTTCTTCTATAAACTTCAGAAACATTTTTTTCTGGCTGTAGTTTTTGCAAATAAAAAAAAAATTGTGTACCATATTAAACACTTTGGGAGCTTTTATTAAAGTCCACCTGCCACAAACATCTTTGGAAAGGGATAAAACAGAAGCACTCAGGGGAAACGTGCTGAAAACAGACAGCATGTCTTCATTCCCGCAGAAATGAATCTAGGTACTTTCACTAGGCAACAGGACCTACTGCTTTATCCTGCTAAAAAAGTACAAGAACAAGTAAAACTTAAACGATTAAAGAACAACCTTGAGCTGTTTCTCTTTCTGGGTAAGTTGTGCTTTGAGTCGTTCCACCAGGTTTTTCATGGTGTTGCTGGGGGAGCGGATGTTGGCCGCCTTCTGGGCTTCCAGCTCAGTTCGCAGGTAGTTCATCTCCTTCTCCACCTGGGCCATCTGGTTCCTCTGATCCTCAGTCTCAGCGGTCAGAGCCTTCACCTGGGCAACATGATGCTCCTCCAGCCTGCAACAAATCCCTTCTGTTAGTTTGTTTTATAACATACATATTCATATTTTCTTAACTAGTATTAAAAACATAACTTTAAATACTTTTAATGCTTGTTTCAATTTATATCTGACATGGGTGTAGGGGATTATTTTTCCATCTTTCTCCAGGTCATTACTGCTGAGTCTCTATAGTGGGGATGCAGTTTAAAATGTGATCAATGTGTGATCTTGTTTTTGTGATCTGTTGCTAACGTGGCATGCAGAGGATACAGTCATGTGTGTATCAATGACGATCACACATACAAAGGAACATACTTAATCTAAAGGTTAGGCTGCAGCAAACAGAAAAATTCATCACAAGCCTAAAACTGCACAGAAAAACAATGTTCCTGCCTAATGATACTTTCATGTACACATAATTTTGTGTTTACACTTCTGTACATTCAACCTTCAATGGAACAAGAGCTATTATTTCATCAACTTCCCAACCTACCGCTGTAATAACTAATGTCTAGTTCAGGGCTCAGTTTCACACAGACTGGCCGGTATTGAATCTGAGTGGGGTAATATTTATGCTGTAGTAAGTATGAAAATATGTCAAGGCCAGGCTGGCAAGTCATTTTTATCACATGTAAGACAATATCTCCAGCAGACAGGGAGGTATTTTCTTGCATGAAGGTTTATTCTACATGTTTGGTCTTTGTGACACACAGTGATAATTCTCGCTCACGGGGCGATTTGGCCTTGTTATCTGTTTTGACATAAGTAGGGTGATTTTTCTGCCAGACAAGGAGATACAACCTAGTTGGCTACAAAACATCCTGACCTAAGTGAATGACTAAATGTCTACTTTTTTTGCATAAATAAATTGTGGCCAATAAGCAGTGAGCTCCAGACGCCTAATCTCTGTGCTGTGATAGTAGGTGAAACTGCTGTTATAAACCAAGCTGCCAATTCATTAAATAGATAAACCTAATGTAATTCAACACAGCTTGTGGTGGTGATGAATAGTATTCTTGACTTTCTATAGAACCATATTTCCTGACTTTCAGTCAGGATTTAAAGAGCATCATAGCACAGAGACAGCAATTGGACAAAGTACTTGTCTCTGTACTTATGTCTTATTAGATCTCAACGCTGCATTTGCCGCCACTGACCATCACATCCTATTACAGAGACTGGAACATTTAATTGGCATTAAAGGAACCGCACTAAGCTGGTTTAAGTCCCATTTACCAGATCGATATCAGTCTGTACATGTTAACCATGAACAATCTCCCAGTTATGCTGCTATAGGCCTGAGCATCAAGCTCCTCTCTCTTCCTCCTCTCCCTCTCCATCTGTATCATATCCCATTAATGCATGTTACTAGGCTTCTTCTCTGTGTTCCCTTGTCTCTCCTCCTGTTGCTCTCTGCAGGTACCTCTGCCTCTGGAGCTGTAGAGCGTGTATCTGTGACTGCAGACCACCTACTGCCCCATGATCCTGCTCAACACCCACTGCTGCAATTATTCTATTATCACTAGTCTCATTAAGATTAATAGGAAGAATTATAGTTTCTGTAAATTATGTTATAAAGGTTACTGTGTAGATATGCTCTATATACAAAATGAGAGATTCTGTTATGATTTGATGTTATAAATATAAAACTTGACTTGTTCATGTCATTGGGTGTGTTCTAATAAAGCTGAAACACTGATGTTCCATTGCACAACTGAAATCTTATTAACTTTTAACCCCCCAACATCCAGTTTCCTCAAGCGTCCCCTTAAGTAGCTTTAAGGTTGTTAAAGTCATCTTATTCCACACTGCCTGACGTTATCAATTTGTTCTGTTTCATCGTTGAAGCTATATGGTCTTTACACCGAGTGGAATATCAATTTTACATTCCTGTCCTCTCTTGAACAGCTAAGATAAAGGCAACATAAAGGATTAGGATAAAGATTCTGCTTTAATATAATCTTCACGGTTGACCCCCCGGTCAGACTCAGAAAAAGCCTCAGGGTTAATCACTTTGACATCTCGTCGGCGTGTTTCTTAGCCTGTGTTTCCATGGCGCTCCTCTGTCGCTCCAGCTCAGCCGTGGTCAGCTTCAGCTTCTCTGTGGCAGAGGAGAGTGAGAAGTCCTGCTCAGCCACCACCTGCTCCAACTCAGCCAGGCGCTCCAGATGCTTGGAGGTTGGCACCCTGATAGTCGGCTTCTTCATCAGTTCCTGGACAAAGAAAGGAGAGAGTGTTGAACAAAACACTTGATGCTGCTTCAAACAAAAATCAGCTTGAAGTTTCAAATAGTGCTCAAAGACTAGTAACATCTTTTAAATGATGTGAATGTGAAAATGGGATATTAGTTAGTTAACAGACAGTATCCTCAGAAATAAACATGGGACTTACGTGTGTTCAGAGGAAACATCCTATATGAATCTGAAGTCATGAACTAGACTTAGGGAGTGTTACAGGATGTGTGTTAGTTCTGTTTTTCAGATGTTCATCTTGTGCATCTCACAGACACACATCTGTTCTAAACAATCCAGCTGTGTGCAGAGGCCACAGAGGGCTTATGTTTTACATGCGCTATACATGCGTGAGTGTAACTATCATGGTATGCAGCATGGAGTTAAGCCAAACAGTCAAAGCTGTTTAAGCAGGAAGAAAAACACAGCCCATAAAGAGACACAGATATGTGCATACCATTGCTGTCTGTTTGAATCGGTCCAGGGAGGTGTCCGTGTGCAGGTCCAGCTTCTGATGCAGCATTCGTAGCTCCTCCTGATGCCTCTTTATCATCTCCTCTTGGTCCTGGGATCAACACAGTGTTGTTAAAATGAAATACAGAAACAGATAAAAAAGTTTAAGTTCTTCTTTTACTCAAGCGTTGTGCTTAAGTATAGTTTAGAGTGACTCGTATTTTACTTGACTTTTAGAATTTTGTTACTTTAAACATCTACTCTACCACAAGTTAAAAGGAAACATGACACTTTTAACCCCACTACATTTATTGTACAGCTATAGTTACTAGTTACCTTATAGATTAACATTTTCTATAAATAACATATGCTAACTTTATAAAAGACAATGCATTGTTAAAGATTAAACTAGTGCCTCCCCTTAGAAAAAAGCAGCGTCTACTTGTAGGCTCTTGTCACATTTCAGATGTCACTGAGTTCGAAATATTCTCCCTCTGAACTTCTTACATGGATTCATATAAATAATTGTACAAGGCTTAAAATGGTACACATTTGTCGAGGCAAAAAATAACACTTAATATTAATATTTAATATAACATAAAACTCCAGTAGATCCTGCAACTAATAACCAATACAGTGTAACTCACAGATAAGCTAATGCCTTTTAAACATCAGGCAGGAATCATATCAGAGGGTTGTTTATTCATGAAGAACCATTTCCAGGATTTCTCCTTGTATTACCTGTCTGGCTTGAACCAACTGCTTCTGGTATTTCTTTAGCACGTCTTCTTTTTTGTCAAGTCGACCCTGGAGATCTTTGATGGTCTGGTGGGCGACCTTGAGTGCAGGCTGACTGTTTGACTGGCCCTCTTCATGCTTGGCGAGGTCAGCTAGCAGGCGCTCTCTGTTGGCAGCAGCTGGGAGCCGAAGACGTAGCTCATTGATCACTTTGTCCCTGGACACAATGTTCTGCTCGGCCTTCCACAGAGCTGCTTCTTTCTCTTTCAGCTTCTGCATGTGGAGGAGAATTCAAACGATGTACTATGTGTTTGATTTAAAGGGAATACATATGAACACGGGCAGAATACTATACCTCATCCAAACTTTTGCAGGTGGCCTGTGTGTCCAGGATGGTGCGGACATGCTCCCTGATTTTACCCAGAGCAAACTCTAACTGATGAGCGAGAGGTAGACTTGGGTCTGGGAGGAAGCCTGAGCCTTCCTCAAACTGAAAGCAACCAAAAATATTTCCATTAGCAACATGTAAAATGAAACTTTTTGTACATTTAACTCTGAATTTAAAAGCTGAGAAAGAGCTGGAAAACCAGTCTGTTTCTAAATAATCATGTTATTATTCCTGTTGCGCTCGAAATACTTCACCGTCAACGGCTGTAAACAATAGTTTACCTTCGCCGCACTGCTCAGAATCTCACTCTGGTGCTTCTCATACTGGTCCAGTTGGCGCTCCAGCTCTACCTCTCGCTGATCCCATGCAAGCTGGTGTTCTTCTTGATGCTTGACGCGATAAAGACAAGAACATGGACGTGGACTTTGAATACTTCCTGACAAACTTCTGTACTGAAAAGCTCCTTAACAAGTTACAGCTGAGTTTTTCTCTCACCGTATTTTGCTGCACAATATCCTCCTCCAGCGAGCGGATGGTTCGCTCCTGCTCCTGCACAAGGTTCTTCAGGAACCTGATCTCCTCGTTCTGGACCACCAGTTCCCTCCCTTTCCTCAGCTCCTGCAGACGAGCTTCTTCCATCTTCTTGTGCCACTCCGTTACCTGTTTGAATGTTATGAGTTGTGGCAAGATGTCCCGCAAAACAAGTGTTATCACAAGACCAACAGTGTGTTATTCAACCATTGTAATGTTTTTATCTGTCAATCAAAGCTGCAGAAGAGATAATTTGATAAATATCTGCCTATACCTGCAACATTTTCCCCCACTGACCTTCTGGGCCCCTTTCACATCCTTTAGTGTCGAGATGAGCTCCTTCAGCCCTCGAAGCGTCAGTTCCAGCTCATCAGCCCTGCCTTCTGCTCTCCTCCTCTCCTTCTCTGCCTTCATCTTCTCTTCCTGGGCTTTTGCTCTGTCCTCCTGGAGGCTCACCATAGCCACAGAGAACTTTTCCTGCTGGGGAAGTGGCAGCGCTCCGGCAAACTGCCTACGTAGTGATTGGACGGTCTGCCGTAGGTGCTTGGAGCGATTCCTGCCCTCCTGGCGGGCGAGGAACAGAGTACGCTCATTGGCATCCAGACGCTGTTCAGCACGCAGCTTGTAGGCCTCCAGCTGCTGGATGCGAGAGGTGGCAGCCTCCAGCTTGGCCAAAACAGCTGATTCACTGAGCTGCAGAGCCACAATATGCTGGTAGAGCTTCGCAATGAGGGCCTTTTCATCCGAGTGTGACTGAGGGAAAGAGATGACACTGAAGACACAGGCTTAAAACTATTTCACACAACTGCCTGCTACACAACCAGGTTTGCATGTGTTTTGATTCATAAAGTTAAATATACTTTTTACCACTCCAATATCAACAGGCAGACCTATTAAATTATCTTATACAAAAATTATTAGTAAGATTTTAGTTTAATTTTTGTCTAGATTATTGGAAAATTAAAAAATGACATTTATTTTCATTTACTTCTTTGCAATATAAAAGTTAAGAATGCCTGAAAATCCTTATGAATCAGTGGAAACTACTGAGCAATCACTATAATAAAGTGACCTGTCAGCAGATAACTGTGATAGAAAGTGTAGTTAAGTGTCTGGTGAGTCGTCACACTGTCACAACAAGTGCCTAAAATGCTCAAGTTGAAGTCCCATTTACTTTAATTGTGAATCAAAGGTTGCACATCAGACAGTAGGCCTTATAAACCTACTGTTGTTTTTAAATGTGCTTTGTAAATACATTTGATTTGGCTTACAAAAGCTTCTTAATTGAAAGGCAACAGTAAAAGAGCTAAACAGAAAAAGCTTCCCAAGTTCAGTAAATTTACCCAGTTACCTGGTAGTCCAGTATTTGTTTCCTCAAAGCTTCTACTTCCTTCTCTTTGGACTGTTGTCTGGCCTGGAGAGCAGACACCTGCATCATGGCCACATCAGACACCTCTTGAAGCCTGTACAAAAAAAACAACAGATACAACATTCTTTACATACACTTTTTAAAACAGTAAAAGAAGCCTAAAGCCTTTATTGCTAACATTATAGGCAGCACAAAGGACAGAATAATGCTTGCATAACAAAAAGGCATTTCAGGCTGTACAAACTAATACAGATACCAAAACAAATGGGCAGTTTTAGTCTTAGTGCAAATGCAGTTAAACTACATTTGACAGGTGGATTTAAAGGATCATGTTCATCTGTTGAATGGTTGGCATGTAAAACTTTGAAGTGAAGTTGCAGTACCAGTTTAATATAGTAGGACGAGTATCAATAGAAAACCAAAATGAAGTATCATTGAAAAAAAAAAAACATATAAAAATTGAATTGGATTTGATTGTACTGTTAAATGGGAGCTCATTAAATAAGAGATGACCTTAAACAGGAAGTTGGCAGTGATAAGACAAATATTTGCCAAAAAGTCAAATTCTCCTGCTTCTCCCTCTCTGACCTGGGGAAGCTTATTATTCGCAGCCATTTGACAGTTTTATTGATTACACTCCTGTGACCATAAAAAAACATTCATGTTCATATCGCTTATTTCCAAAGTTATTCTAGGATTGTAACTGCACGTATATTTCATGATAAGAACCTTAGTGATTAATCTTGGGCCTGCACATTGTCAAACTTACTTAGAAACTTCAATGCGCAGCTCAGCCTCAGCTTTCTCCAGCTCTTTAATCCTGGCTCTGTCAGCGTCGCTCACAGCTTTGCTGATGCTGTCCGCCAGCTCATCTCTCAGCTCCCGCTCCACCCGCTGGGCCTCTACATTCATCTTGGTCAACTGAGGAAAAACAGGGGTATGACTGCTTGATAAGATTCTTTAAATGAAGACTTCGAAATGTCCTCTACTGGTTCGACTTTGGTACGGACTGACAATCATTAAAACAGTCACGTAGCCATGTTGTCGTATTTTTGGGGTCATGAACCAAAATGTTGAGATAGTAAAATTAAAAAAAAAACCTTTTCTCAACAGACTCTTTATAGCGTAAAACAGGATTCTTCATTTGTACAATCCAAAAGAACTGATGTCTTTATTGTAAGACTGTTTGTCTGTCAAGTGACCTCAATTTTACATCTAACAATTTATTAAAAAATAATAGCACTGACGCCCAGAGCAACAACTCAAGTCTGGAGCACATGTCCCCAAACTCATCTATCGTTTTCCGTGGCCTCTTACCTCTGCAAACTTGGACTCCAGTTCTAAGTTGCGCTCTTCCACTTGCCGGAGAGAATTCCTCACGTGTTCATACATTTTGTGGGCATGCTCGGCTCTCTGCCTCTCATTCAGCTCCTTCATCTCTAAGGTGGTGATTTGTCTGGCAGCAGATACCATCTCATTGTTGGCCAGCGCCTTGTCTGCCTTGTCCATGCCATTTTCAACTGCTGACATTAAGGAAAAAACACAATCTAAGGGTGGGATCCACAAAAAATATCTATTCATAGTCTAAACTAAATCCTGCTGATCTGTAGCACAACCTTACAGTCTTTTTGTTGCTGTACTGGCTGACATTCGTTTTGGTTACAATGACATTTTACTGAGCATCCCTAAACTTTCTGTGATAATCAGCCACTGTATTACAACACTGCATGTATCCAGGACCCTAGAGAAGCCTGTGCTGTGCTGTGTTCATCGTTTACCAACGGAGCCGCCGTTCTCCCACGCTTGCTCTAAAGTATTCAGTTTCTCCTTGGTGATCTCCAGTTCTTTTTTCATGGCAGAGATTTGCTCCTGGAGCGACTCGTTCTCACCCTGAGACAGTGAAAACAAGAGAGAGAAATATGTTACAGTCAGTCAACTGTGAACAGCCAAAAAGTAAAGGTGTGCTGAAAATACTTGTCCAGTTAATGCTTTAATACCTGCAAGTGTTCGAGGTTGGTGGTTCTCTGTATGAGGCGGCTGTCCCTCTGCAGCATGTCTCTGTATTTGACTGTGAGCTCTGTGTACTGTTTGTTTGCCTTCTCCAGGTCCGATGAGGGAACACTATCATCCAAGGCCTTTTGCAGTGCTGCTATCTTATATGCAGCCATTTCCTACAGAAAAACAAAAGGAAGCGTCGTTAAACGGACATTGTATAGTGGTAGTGATGGCCGATGCCAAACACAACTTTTACTTGTGATTTTTAAAAACTCTCATATTCAAGCCAATGCTTCCGACAATAGCTTCTGTATTCACTTTTGACTGGAGTCAAAGACAAGTCATTAACATTTAGAGGCTTGAGGAAGGCTTGTGCTCCTCGCCCCAGTCAACTGGAGTCTGCATTTCCAAAATCTAAAAATGTTATTTTAAGAAAAAGCAGCACCAGCTTTTTTAGAAAGCATTAGAATTTGTTTTGTTGTTGTTTACTGGAGGAATTTAACACTTTGATTCTCTGTACCTTGTATCTCTGCAGGTAGCCTATCCTCTGAGTGACGGACGCCTGCATGTGGCTGCTCTCGTCCCTTAGCTTGCTGTTGTCCTTGCGGAGGTGCTGCTCCTGCTCCAGCAGGGTGGTGTAGCGCCGTGTCAGTTTCTTCTCGTTAACCTTCAGCACCGTCAACTTGCGCAATGATTCGCTCAACTGTCTCCTGATTTCCTCTGGGTCCTTGTGAAGGGTGTCCAGCAGCTCCTGTTGGGTGAAACAGACAGGTGCTCTTTTAAAAAAGGTTTGATCCCTCGTGAAATTTTGGGGGAAAACTGACAACAGGGTAAGATAAGTGAAGCGAAGCAGTTTATCTGCTAACATTTATTTGTCTGACTTACGTTGAATTCTTGGATTTTAACAGCATCCACCTGCTTCTGCTCCTCCAGCTTGTCCTTCACCTCTGTAAATGTCGCTCTCTCCTTCTGCCACTCAGCCTTCTCACTGAGCAATAAAAACACACAGTAAAGATTTTGCACTTCATGTCACAACCCACATATGATGTGAGAAACCTTCTCGTTAACTCACCTTAGGTATTCTTTATAGAGGAGACCCTGTTGGTGGCTGATAACAGCAAACTTCTCTTTGTATTCCTCCAGTGTTGCTGCAAGTTTCTTGCTTTGTTCCTCCTTGTTTTTGAGCTCCTGATTAATTAAAGTCATATCATTATTATTATTATAAATGTTTAGGAGAGATATAGTTGATTTATAGTCATTTCCATCCAGGTCTTGAGAAGACAGTCACACTGACCTGAAGAAGTCGAACAGCGTACTCATTCAGGGAACTGATGACCTCGGTGCTACTGGGCCCCAGGCCTTCAGGGAGGGTCAGAGGTCGGAGGACAACTCCACTGCTGCCTGACTTCCTGAGCAGCTCCACCTCACCTTCCAGCTGGTTCACCTGACAAGCAACAGATGAAGCAATCACAATCACAGCCTGGCAGCCACATCTTTTTTTCTTAATACCAACTTCAGTGTCACTAAAAATTCCGTTTGCACATCAAAATCATTACTTCTGGTACCAGAATAATCAATCCAAACTGCTAAGCATGAGTCGTTGTCATGACAACTAGCAGTTTGTTGTGCCTTTGTAGGGAGATTAAGATCAGGTGACTGTCATGAAATTACCAGTGTAATTCAAATAAATTTAATGTGAAACATAAACCAAATCAAAACAAAATGTATGACACGATGTAAGAGCACAATGAACCAGACAAGGGAATGAAAAAATAAAAGACCAGAGACAAGATGCATAAAAGACACAGAGTGATGTAAGAGAATAAAACTCAAGAACTTAAAGAAAGGCTTTGATATACAAGGCTGACAAGGCTTTCCCCTTTTAAGAACAGGGATCTGGTTGTGCTCTGGAAAAGACGGTTTCTATTAAACATAACTTCTCATTTATGTTGCATCACTTTAAATATTGAAACTGAATGTAAGCTGAAAAGCTGAGACACAAGTCTGTTTACCTCTTGTTATATGAAACAGAAGCAACACATGTAAAACCAGAAGAGATGGATTCAACAAAGAAACGTTGTAGTCATGCTAGTAATTACTCTCAGAGAGAGCATGTCAGGCATTGCCACTGTCTCTATAAATCATCATTATTTAAATTAGTAAATGCGTGTGGTCAACTACTTTCATGTGAGATATTTATGCTGTTGATCTGGAAAACAGAGTTGCGACACACAGCTGTAAACATTTGGAGTTGGCCTTGCATAACCAGCGTTTAATAAATGTTTGACTGTGAACAATTTGACAAATCATATTTAAATGTGTGGCCATAAAAATCTGATGAGGTGACCAAAATTGCTTTGTTTTCTTGCCAAAGGAAAGGAAATGGCCAAAAAAAAAAGGATTTGATAGAAAAGTGAATGCATCACAATAAAAAAACAAAACAACCGCATAATTTCTTTGTCTTGACACAATACAATCTGGATGTACCTTTTCTTTGGCTCTGGCGAGCTGGACGAAGCTGCTTGTTGCTTCCTCACGTGCTGATTTCAACTCCTGCCTCAGTTCTTCGTTTCTCCCCACCAGCTGATGTATTTGGGACTTGAGGTGCAGGTCTGAATCAGTCAGCCCACTCATGTTGTTCACATCTATCGCCTGAGGACAGTGGGAATGCCATTAAAATATAATAAAATATTGGATGATAAATAGATGCAGCTTGTCAAAGAGAAGAGACCATTTGAGGTGCTGTCTATTAGTCAGTGTAACAGGTCCAAACAAATATCCGCTGCTGTCTCACATGTGACTTACTATTGGATTATCTCATGCTGGACAACACTGCACAATCATCCATCAAAAGTCTTACTGCTCGCAACGTTTTTCTGTCTCACCACATTTGTTGTTTATGAAGTTGCTAAGTGACAAGTCCGCTGCTTCGTCAACTTGCAAAAACATTGAAATACCTGAGACAATGGACACAATCCCTATGTGTCCATTGTTTTCAGCACAGCCAATCTTAGGCTCTTATATAGGCTGCGCTGGGCTCAACATGCCTTGCATAAGCTTGGACCTGAGTTGTTTATGTGAACCTTTACATAAAAATGTTAACATTTTTGAAGGATAAAATAAGCTGCTGCGTATTTACCTCACTGCTTTTACAACTATAATTTGAGTGTGGGAAAATCACTTTCAGGACCATTTCTATCCTCTGTGTTCTTGTTTCGATGGTAGATTAACACAAATCTCCAGTGTACATATATATCAAGGCCCTGCGCTCTGCAGCATTATGACCCAGAAAAAGTAATAAAAAAGACTTGAACTCTGGACAACAAAAAATAAAACTGTGAAGATTGAGCTGATAAAAACCACTTACTAGTCATGTGGCAATAAATTACACTTTAGCCTCTTTAAAAAAAAACATCAAAATTGAACATTAGATTTGGTGCATGGGAGTTACTTACATTAGCCAACCTTTCCAGATTGCCAATATTAATGGCACCATCAGATGGAGTGGCCCCTTGATTAATCCTCATGGCTTGGAGAACATCTTTCAGTGCAGCCTCCAGGTCTTGTTTCACCTTTGACAGCTCCTCCACTGTCAATGAACACAGGAAGGGACAATATCAGTGAAGCTGTGGCCACTGAATGATTTAATTCACCCAAAAACTCTCTTTAAAAAAAAAAAAAAATTACAATAATCATCCCCTCGATACATATTCTCCAGTTTTTAACTGTCATTAAACAAAATCAACAGACTCAACTTTCAAAATGTCCCTGTGAACTCCAGATGAGCAGCACATCTGTACTTACGTTTGACTTGAAACTGGGTCTTGTGAAGTCGCAGCTCTCTTTCCTTTTTACTCAGTTCTTCCTCTAGGTACGCATTCTGCAAAAACAAAATGGACCACATGAAATGTTACAATGACAAAAAAATTACCAAAAGTTATTGATACATTACATCAGTGGATCCACGTCCAAAAGGCGTGCCATGAACCTGTACTTGAGATACAAGTAAAGTAGACCAGACCAAGCCCTAACTGAGCTCATTTTGATGTTTGACTGAAGTTTCTACAATTACCAGTATCAAAGTAGTTAAGGTCACAAAAAGCACAGCATGAGAATATAAAATAAAGAATTAAAACCATCTAATAATGATCAGATTAAATGAAACAATGAACATATTGGTTATAAAAGTGCAAATCATTGTGCTGTGGATAACACTTGCAATCAGCTCTGAGAATGAATTGATTCTCTGGGTTTAATGAGGAAATCAATCTTCTTTGAAACACTGGAACTTGCTTTAAGATAAGATGCGAGAGATGACATCATCAGCCAGGAGCTCACCTTTCGTCTGATCTCTTCTTCTGTGTAATTGCTGCTTTGCTTAAGTGGCGCAGTTCTGCCGGGCCTGATGTCTTCCTCCAGAAGAAAGCCTGATTGTGGGATCCCTGCAGAAACACCTGATTGTTACTAAGAAGCAGCACAACGTTAATAAAAAAATGATATTCTGTCTACTGAACACTTTTAAAAGAGTAACAAACAGTAACCTCAATCCCTGAAAACAGCTTTCATAGGAACAATGTTCCTTGAAAAAATGGTTACTAGTACTAGTAAATTAATCATCATTGCATTGTAGCACCACAAACAACTTTCATTGTATTGGAGGCAAAACTTAGAAAAAGATATTTCAAAACCTGTGCAAATAAAACCAAAAATACCTTCTTTATTACATATGAAACTGAATTTGAAATACAACGCCCTTGTGTAATTTGGGGGAGGCATTGGACCACATGGCAGGCATATGCCAAACAACAGTGCAGATAGGTACAAGTTGAGAAAACAAGCGGGGCAGTCAGTAACAGACATTATCCCTTTAGGCTCAGACAAAACCAGAAATAACTTATTGAGTTACAAAATTTGTCATTCAACTCTTGTGCCCTCATCAGGCTAATTAATGTAAATATTTAAGGCTTGGACCCAAAACTGCATATCACTAGATGTCAAACAGACAGATGTAACCTCTACCTTTGATTTGATCTTATAGGGGAAAAACATGAATGAAGGTCAATGCAATTATTGACATTATATAATTCCATGATTTGTGCATCACCTCTTTCCTTCACCATGCTTCTGATTTGTTTCTTGAGCTCCAGTCTTTCCTCTTCAAGCCGTTCAATCTACAAAGAAAAAAATTAATTGAGCAGTGAGATGAAAGGAAAACAGTGGTTTTAAAGGTTGTTGATTATAACCACTGATATCCCACTTTACCTCTTTGGTTAGGACTTGGTTTTCTGCTTTGTACTGACGTTGCCTGATATCTTTGGCTCGCCGGAATTCTGTCAGATCCACTTCCTGCTTTGGTTCCAGACCTTTGGAGTCATGAAAAAGATCCAAAGAAGGTCAGTTAATGTTGTCTAAATAGAATGAAAGATGGGAATTATAAAGTTTTTAAAAAATCTGACCTAGTTTTTCTCGGAAATCCTCGTTTTCGTCCATGAGGTCATTAATTCTCATTTCAAGCTGGTTGATATCTTTGGTCATGGCCTCTGCCTCGCAATCTCTCACTCTAATTTGATTTTTACACTCTTTGATCTCCAAAATGGCAGCTTCCAGGCCATAAGTTCCCTGTAGTACAAGAGACAGAGCTGCGGTTACTCGTCCATTAAAAAGCATGTCTTGTCTCACTTCCTTTCTTTCCTTGTTTTCCGATTCATATGGTTTTTGGGGAAATCAGGATGTAATTAGACATGGTGAAAGACAAACACTCAGCTTGTAGACCCAAAAAGCATGTTGATCACACCACAGTCACATAGTCGTTTCAATGTCCCTGTTAAAAGTGAGTATGGACAGGGAAATAACCCCATAGGGCTTACTTCTGGGAATTTAAGTTTCAAGTAATTTGATTTGGATCAAAAAAAAATCTTTGATGTAAGCCAAGGGGAGAGACAGGGTATGTGTAGACTTACAGACTCGTACTGGCTCAAGCGGTTTGAAGCCTCAATGAGCGCTTTGTCTTTTTCCTCAGCATGAGCTTCCGCAAGCTTCGCAGCCCGCTCTGCTTCCACCGCTCTGGTCTCTGACACTTCCAGCTTAGACTTCAGCTCTTCCATCTTCCTCTGCTGTGTGGTTAATGGCAGGTCTTGAACAAGAAAAGGAAATAGGAAATAAGCTCAATATGATTTTTTTTGTATCGCGTTTACCCCTTTTTCACATCACATTTTTGGAGCTACTGTTAATCTAAAAACACAGATTTCTATTTCTGCAGCAGAAGACTGGACTACAAATAGCCTTCAGTCCTTAAACTAGAATTACCGCCTCACAGTGATAAACCTCCACCAACCAGTTGAGTTGCAGGAAATATGGTCACAATCTCCCCTTCTGTTCCTGAGTTTCAACACTGAAGAAATGTTTATGTCTGAATATAAAATGTCCTCACCTCATGATTTTATTTTATTAGACATTTGTGTTAAATTGTGCCATAATTAGCCTATGAATTCTTGAGTTATGGCCAGAAATGTGCTTGTGAGATCACTGTGACCTTGAACTTTGACCTTTGCCCACCAGAATCTAACCAGTTCATGTTTTAGTCCAGGTGAACGATTGTGCAAAATCTGAAGAAATTTCATCAAGGTGTTCCTGAGATATCATGTTAACAAGGCCAAAAATGTGTTTTGTGAGGTCCCAGAGACCTTGACCTTTAACCTTTGAAAACCAAAACCTAATCAGTTTATCCTCGAGTCCACGTGGACATTTGTACCAAATTAGAAGAAATTAGTTTGTGAAATATCATGTTCATGACAATGGGAGATTTCTGAGGACAGACACACGTCACCTTACATAATGTGTTCATTGTTGCTTGTAAATTCTGCATCTTTTAAACCACTGATTACTTTCATTATTAATTATTTATTCAATTATTTGATTGATAATTTAGCAACTGCCCAAACCCCCAAAATATCTACTTTACATTTAATATAAATTAAAACTATAAATTGCAATTGCAATAGCATTTGAGAAGCTGAAACCAGAGAATGTTTGGTATTTGTTTCTGGACCTAATCAAACTGGCTATATTTTTTCTCTATGTGACATTTTAAAGGCCCTTACAAATCATTGGCGTTGTGTTTATTTTTGTTAATTTGATTTTTGCCCCCCCCCCCATCAGCTATGTGAGCAAATTAACTTTCACCGCAACTTCACAACTACTTTCAAAACACCACTACTACAAATATTTGCAGTCCACAATTACGAGAGGAAGGGCTGTGGCTCAAGTGTGTTGTGTAACTCTGAACTCACTGTTATGAAAATTTTAAACAGAAGATTGAATGACCTCATCACAGCTGGTTTTGTTATGAAGGTGTTCAGTCAGGCAAGGATACACCCACCTCTGTCTTTCTTCGTGGACGTCTTGAGCTCCTCGATGAGTGAGGTGTGCTTCTCCATTTCCCCTGTGTACTGCTCCACCTGCTCACCCAGCATCTTGATTTGATTATCTCTCTCTTGAACAGCCTGTAGGGCATTCACCAAAAATGATGAGAATTTATTTAGGACTGAGCATAGCTGTAGCACACTGAGTTATTGGTGCTTTCATCATTAAGGAAATTTATGAAATGAAAACAAGGGTGGGGAGGGCTGGGAATAAGAGACACATGACAGATGAAACTTACAGCACAGAGTTCATATATGACCTGGCCCAGGGCAGCGGAAGGAAGGACAGGTTGATAAAATATGACAAGCGAAAAAGAGAAAGCAAACAGTAGGGAAACTGACAGATAGATCGAAGAACATGATATTACAACCACCTCCAAGTCAGGATTCCCCTGCTCTGAAGGACACAGATAAAGGCATATGCACACAGTGACCTTCCACCATGTAATTAGGACCCTCCTGCATATTTAAGTATGCAAGGTCTAGAAGAATAATATACATATATATAGACACACACAAAAAAAAGAGGATTCATTTCATTTCTCTCCTGTTTTGAGACGGACCTGCTGCAAGGCAATAATGTTGCTTTTGTCCAAGTCCAGTTGGGCTGAACGCAGCTTTTCCCTCAGATCACGGATCATCTGCTGGTACACCAGAATTTCATCATCCTTCCCAGAGAGCACTCTCTGTGTGTGAAAAAAAAGGAAGATTCATGATAGTCCACAAAGAGCCTAACTCAGTGGTGATGATAAAGATGCATAGTTGCAAAGTTTAGGTACATTAAAACTGGAATCAATGCCTCACGGTTGAATGTCTTCACCAACCAGTCAAGCTGAAGGAAATATGGTCACAATCTGCCCTTCTGTTCCTGAATTACAGCGTTGAATGATGGCCACAAGTGTTTTTGCAGAACATTAAGATGTGACAGTGAAGTTGACCTTTGACTGTTTGGATACAGATTGTCATCACTTCATCATTTTTTCCCAGTGTTTCCTATACATTGATTACATTGATTTATTTATGGCGGCATGCCACAATATCAACATTGATTTTTTTTACTATTTCAAACAGGTAAAATCTTATTTCATCATAAAGCTGCTTGCAGTGCATTGATTTGCTCAGCCGCTCCTTGCCTTGCTCTCTCTCTCTCTTTCATTGACAACAGACCCAACTGTCATAGTCGGACTGGCCATCATAAGCACCGCCTAAAATCCTGCTGCATCAGAGGGCTGGTCTCTGTGTGCCTGTCATTCGGGGTTCGCATGAGAGAGTGCTGTGTGCATGTGCCAAAACTGGGCCAATCACTGGCCAATCCCAATATGTAAACAACTCTCACTGACTCCGGTTGGGTCGGTTATTTGTTTGATAAAACATGAAGCAATGGAGCTGCATATTCAGTGTGGTCCAAAAGTCTGAGAACACTTGCCTAATGGGAAATGTGTTGCTCAGAAATTTAGTTAGTACTTAGCAAATAAAATACCCTTCGTCAGCTACCGCCACAAATAAAACTATTTCTGTGGTAAGCATTTTATCATATTAGACATTTGTGTTAAATTGTGTCATAATTATCGTATGAATTCTTGAGTTATGGCCAAAAGCATGTTTTGTGAGGTCTCAGTGAGCTTTGTCCACCAAAATCTAATCAGCTCATCCATTAGTCCAAGTGAACGTTTGTGCCAAATTTGAAGATATTCCCTCAAGACATTCCTGAGATATCACGTTCACAAGAATGGGACGGACAGACAACTGGCCACAACTGTCGCCAGGGTGGAGGCACTTGTGGAATTTTTTTTTTTTTTTTTTTCTAAAACAGCAACACAGACACAGCTCTGGCCTTTGTGGTCTACTGTGATGTTTGATGGATATTGCAAAAGGGAACATGCAGAGATTTAAAAGTAGAAAGTGCTTGAATACCAGTCTCCAAAGTAGCAACAATGTGCTGAATGTTTCATATCTATTTGTTTCTGTTTTACCACGTAACTCCACTGATACAATGGTCACTCTTTTTTTTATCACTGACACCTCTATCTTCCACCTTTTTTTAGACTAGTTTGTGAATCGGCAATATCACTTGGTGTTTGACATCAATAAAATTAAAAGAAATTTATATTTGATACATACACTGCTTGCTTACTCTGTGAATGAAGCTGTTAAAAAAAGAGAGACGCTGGTTTCTTTGGTTGAAAGGCATAAGTTCATTAAAAAGGTTCCTGAGTTCTCTGATGAGTTCCTGTGATCATAAAGGGTTAAAGGGTGCAATATTTAGCTCCATGGGCTACTTTTTAAAACTCTTCTCTCCTCCATTATTACACATATCTTTTACATACATCAGCTTAAAGAGAAAAACAGGTAAGAGGTGCCTTGGTGAAAGTTTACACCCACCTTCCACTCCTCTACTTTAGCATTGACTGCTGCCATAATTGGGTCATCCTCCTCAGTCATGCTATGGATCTTATCTGTTAACTCTCTGACCTGCACATTACACACAGAGAGCCACTATATAGGACGACACGCGACAGTTGGGCACACAACTAGCAAAGCAGTCGAGTCCACACACCACTGTCCCATCCCATAATGATTGAGGGAGGAGCTCGCACACAGAAAGTTTTCCAGTTCACACAGAGCAATCCAGTTGGGTGGAATCGGGATCAAGGTCACACACAAGCACACACACACACACACACACACACACACACACAAAGAGGAGATTCAGTGTCCAACACGCAATGTAATCATGTTTACAAAAAAAGCAGTTTCAACTTTGATGATAGCTGACTTCATGCATGTGTCAGGTAACTCTTCTCAGCATTACAATAACCTAAAACAGAATAAAGTATTTCATTTAGGAGGGTCTTTACTTGCAGCTTTGCATGATCCCTCTCTTTCCTGAGCTGGTCCATAATGGAGTCAGTCTGCTGTACAACAATCTTCATCTTGTTGTACTCATCTGTCATCTTCTCCATCTCCTTCACAGAATCCTCCAGACTCTTCTGCATCTGCTCGTTCTGTGTCTTCAGGTACAAGTTTTCATCCTCTGCCCGCTAATGGACACAAAATAGTATGATAAACTTCATTTGTAGACGCATACCTTTGCATGCGGAAAATCAGAGGTACAAAGAGCAGGTAATAAAAACAGATGAAAGCCACAAAAATTGGTTAATTACATGTTTTTGGCTCTAGATTTCTAAAAGACTAAAGCAAAGTGCTATTGCAAGGCTTGCTCTGTTCACCAGAGGGTGTAGTAGTGAAACACGTTTCCAAGTACCTGCAGGTCTTCCAAGCACTGGTAGAGCTGGCGGTTGGCCAAGTTGAGCTTCCTCTGGATCTCAGCGCTCTCGTCTCTGGACGGGCCCGGCTCCTTCTGTTCGAGCTCTCCGCGATAGAAGTCCACATCCTGCTGGAGCTGCTCATTCTGTTGCAGTACAGGAAGGACAGAATTATTGTCAGAAAAGGAGCTGGATCCAATGCCCTGTAGTCATACACTAATTTAGACACACAACTGTTTTGTCTTACGTTTGGATCTGAAATAATTCAGCAATTAATAGCTTATCAGAATATCCAAATATCTTTGAGTTTTGGACCATTCATTTGACAAAACAAGCAATTTTGAAGATGTGTCATCTTTGCCTCTGGGAACTTGTTATGAGCATTTTTCCGTGTTTTAGAGGCCACTTAGTCTAGTAATCAAGAAAACACTAGCCAGATTAAATGATCATGAAAATAATTTGTTGCAGCCCTACATGTGTTCATTCTATTGGATAATACCCTCACATAAGGTAATATCTATTGATGTCCAAGTGCTGGTAAACAATGGATTATGTTTTATTATATATTTCAAATGTACCCTACTAGTATGAAATCTACTGTGTCACAAACACCAGGACGACCAAACTACTACACTCTACCACAGATTTGCTTTGGACATAGAGTACATTTATGTATGCACAATGGTATAGAATTAAATACGGCCTACACTATATAATTGTAACTTTGACTTATTTATTTGTATCCTGTTCCTACCTCCCTCTCTGGTCTGAACCTTATTTTATCTCATCAAGTTTTCAATCTCTTTGACATTCCCTGTTGGCCACCTTACACTCTGTCTGACCTTTTATTCTATAAAAAAATAAATAACATGATAACATCTCTACAGCTTTAACAGATGTACAGTAAGTGACCATCTGTAGAGAAATTTAAAAAATGTGTACTCCTTATAAAAAGTACCTTTTTACAACTACAAAAACTATGAAATGCATACTTATTTTATAACTGAAACTTAGTTTTACTAACTACACTACCTGTATTTCTTACCTTTTTCTTAAGCTTTTTTATCTTTGGAAACAGAACAGAAAGAGATGGAAAGAGATGATGAATTTTGAGAAAAGCTTTCATATGAACAAATGATGGCAGACTACAGGAGACTACATGGGAGTAAGAGTAGATGGGTTAAATAGTGTACTGACTGAGGATGTAAAGACTACTTCATAAAGCTCTATGATCTGTTCGATCAGGTGCCAGCCGCCCCATACCTCTCTTTTCAGCTTCTTGACCTCATCCTCAGCCTCCTCTGCTCGCACAGCCAACTACGAAAACAGAACAGAGAGTACAAAATGCAGAAACACAGCAAAAATGTAACCACACTAGATGCACACTTAATATCTTAAAATTGCACTATGCAATAGCCTTGCTCCAGTGTAGTAACCTGAATATTAATCAGTGGAAAGTGACTGGAAGTAGACAATGTCTAATAAGATTAGTGCAACTAAGGATTAATAGTAAAAGAATTCAAATATGTCACACTAATAAACCTCTAAATTTAATAAAATGTTTCTTTTTGAGGGAATTTGTTTGCCATTCTTTATTAAAAATTTTGATTTATTACCTGAGTATATTAAAAATATAATTGTATGCTGATCAGTAAGAACTATATGCAGTTCAATAAAACCCCCTGGCACATTCTCTTTCCATGAATGACATCAAAGGATAAAAAAAATTCTCTTCAATACCATGTACTTATAAGACAAATCAGCACAGTGTCAACACAATGTGTGCAAACTAATGAACTGACAATTACAGGTCATCCAAGGACTCATTACTGGATCCAAAGTCCTGTGCTAAGCATTGGAACTATGGGTAATGTGCTCATACCTCCTCGTTAGTTTTCTTATCCTTGCCCATTTCTTTCTTTAACTGGGTCAACTCCTTCTCCCTTTGCTCCAGCTGGGTCTCGAGCTGCCGAATCTCATCTCTCAGAAAGCGGGTGTCTGGCCCAGTGCCGGAGTACTGAGCCGTATGGACCGGAAACAAGACATACAAACACCCAAACAACCCCCACCAAGAAACCTCTTAGTCTCCAATTACCTCCATCTGTTAACAACACTAATACATGCATATAATGAAATTTACACATTCTTAAGCAAGGATTAACTTTCTCTTTCCAAAGCAAACTGTGGAAATGTGGAATTCTGATTATATACAAACCTTAGAAAACAATCAAGTTGAAACTACACGTAATGGCTGTGAGCATGCAAGGAATTAGCTGTAATCTTCTTATGTGCTGTCTTTCAGTCACCGCAACCAATCCCTTTGTAGCCAGGGTTACACTCTATGACTGGCTAATAGATTTGGCACTGTTGCCAGTAGTGAAGCAGCATAAAAGGTGATTTCCAGTTGCACACATTAATGTGTTTTTTTCACATTCATAGTAGCAGTCATATTGAGCGCCCACTGATAAAAAAATAACATCTAAGTAGCTAAAAAAAAAAAAAACATACACTACGTAACACACAGTATACAGACATACAGTATATAAATAAATAAACAGGCAGATAGACAGATGCTGTAAAGCGTTACCTTGCGCTCTTGTTCTAGCCTTGACAACTTGGCAAGGAGTTCCTTTTCTAAGGTACAGAAGTCATCATCAATAATGTAAACAGGGTTGTTTCTTAGCAACATTTTAACATATGAAACATTTTGACTACTGAACTTCACTGTGCACTAACCAGTTTTAGCATGCTGTGCTCCAATGTTTTCGATGAAGTCGTGGCAAAGAGTAAGTTCCCGACCCTTAATCTAACAGGCAGAGGGAGAGAAGACAATATAGACAAACTTATATTATTTTATGGAAATATTTCAAGCAGCATATGCCCCCAAAATAGCATCAAAGGCTATAACATGAATTATACACTAAATATTCTTGCTTCTTTAAATGTATCACATATGAAAGAAGTGTTGTTGATATGTGTGCATGGTAAAGATCAGGATATAGCAATAACAAGATTGAGCACCTTGAGCATGGCCTGAAACACTCTGATGACGTGAATAATGTTCTCAGGATTTTTATCCTTCACCTCCCAGTCTTCTGTCTGCATAGAAAAAGTAGTTTAATATGAAACCGTCAAATTTAGAGTCGTTTAAGATAATAATAGTAATAACATTCTGATAGGAGAGCCTAGATTAAAACAGTGACAGAGGTGGAATTGACACAAAAACACTAATACATAAAATATTACGTTTTTCTTGTACTAATCAAGTTCAGATGACAGACAGCACTCACACATTACATCTGCATTACTTTCAATGAGGACTTCATGCAGATGTAGTGCTCCTATGTGAGATATGCAGGCCAATAGTGACCACAAACAGAGTGAGTCAAAGTAAATCAGTCTGATTAATCTGTTATTTTGCTGATAAAGCCAAAGAGCAAGGAGCTGTTACGCCCTCAACAATAATCCAGGATCAGCAGGCCTGGTGTCTTTCCTGGTGCAAGTAGACATAGCGCTGGTTAAACATGCAGCACTACTGCATTCAGTTTGTAATTCTAAACCAGACAAGTGTTGGTGAAATTTGAGGTGTGATGAATGCTAATGTAGACTATTACCAAAACGAGCATGCCGAAGACCTCCTTCAATTTGTCGTCTTCACATTCTTGGAGGGTGACTGGGTCTATTCTCATCATTCTATCCCACTCATGAGCAACAGGCATCTTGGTCATAGCGTGTTTGAACAGATTTAACCAGCTATTGAGCAGACAGTTCAGTGATAACTACAGTGTTGGTTTTAGAGCTGGTTTGCTAGTTCACGGCTAAACATTGCTGTGCTCCTCAAAATGAAGCCTTATTCTTTGTATTACACTAACATTTGTGACGACGTTTAACGTGAGGCAATTTACTCCACAAACTGCTGCGAGACGTTCAGCGACCAAGCAACTCCTCGTTTTCATGAATTACCTAGCTAACGTCAGACGATCTGGTTTATAAGTTAAATGTTAGACCCAAGCGTCTGTTGTCAATTAAGCTCACTATGTAAGATAACTTAAATATGATAGACGGAGAATATAGGCCACAGATAAGTTATAATAATAGTAAATAAACATCCTGAGATTTCCATGGCGTGATGCTTGGCTGCTAGGTTACCATTGACAACAACGGTTAGCTAATTAAGCTAGTCCACGAGAAAACAAAACTAGTAAAAAACGGCGAATACACCCTTGCAGAGAACTTTACCAAACTGTAAAGACATTGCGGATACAACATTGACAAATGGCACTTATAAGCAGCACTTAAAGCGTGGTACTGGCGACATACACTTAAGTTTGTCAAAAATAAACACCAAGTCTGTCTTAGCTAACGTTTAACTTGCGCGGTCACCTCTGAACCGGAAGTGAAAGTGATGATGTGTTAGGGCTAGCTTGCACAAGTGGAATGCCGCTTGCTGAATTGCGTGCAACGTATGTGTTTGTAACCATCCCAAGTTTCTGAAATCACCTCTGCTGTCACCGCCCGCCCTGCTACAGACACGGTGAGTAGGAAATTCAAGGACCTAAAAAATACATCTGCGTTCACTGTATCTGGCTTACAGACTGGTATCAAGCTAGCTAACATTAGCTGCTAAGTTAGCTTTGTCGTTAGCTAACGTTATGTTGCAGCAGCCAGTCTTAAAATATCAGAACAAGCTGCTTGAAGCTCTTAGTGCTCTTATATTCTCGCGATCGACTGGTAGCAATGCAGATTGTATTCATTTAATCAACATCCGCAGTTAGATAGCTCTTTAACCACTCTTGATATTCATTAGCAATGGTCTTAGATTGCTACCAAGGTACACCCTCCATCGCTTGTGCAACCAGCTGTCACTGTACTGGCGGTTGCTAGACTATGATTTTTTTCAGCATGTAAGGTCATATCCCACCCGTTTTATTTTTTGGGTAGTTTAGCTGCCAGGTTATATTCCCCAAATTGTAGACCAGAATAATCCACAGCCCTAAACAATAAAACAGGGTGGCAGTTGATAAGGGTAGTAAAAGAGGGGGATAGTAGTGGCATAACAGATTTTAATCATTATAATGTAGAGGTAGTATTGTGACAAGGAAGCATGTTAAGCAGAGGAAAAGGAGAGTTGTGAAACACGGTTCTATAAACTTAATACACATGCCTTCTGGAGAGTTGCATTGTTAGTAGGATTGACTGGTTGTTTTGAAGCTGTAAAACCTAACCCATCCATCTACATGACATGGTGCCTGTTTTACACATTTTGTTGTCAGCATTTTTAATGTCAGATCCCTTTGTTTTCCTGCCCAGTGATCAATGACGGCTTTGGCCAGCCATGGCTGTCGTGTCATGGAAGGAGATTTTACTTTTGACTGGACTGGTGGTGGGATGTTACTGGAACAGTCTGTCTTGCGGCTTTGTGTTTGATGATGTCTCAGCAATCCTTGACAACAAGGACCTACGGCCCTCAACCCCTCTCCGCAACCTATTCCTCAATGACTTCTGGGGAACGCCCATGGCTGAGGTAAATAATAGTCCAGCACACACCTCTCTGCTATATCGGTTCTTTTAGTTTACATTTACAAAAATCACATTACTGATAAAAGCTTACATGATGTTTCTCTAGTTTAGGATCAGATTTGGTTTATTTTCAGTTTTATTAAGTAGGTCAATGAAATATCCAGTTTATTTATTCAATGAAACTTGAAGGAATTCAGTTACAACCTCCTCAGATTAACTCGACTTTGAGGGTAATTTGAAGAATAACTCAAAATCTTAACCAAATATTTGTCAGCTTTGAATTGTCTCTCAATTAGTCACATATATGACAGCATAAATGTGTGTCCCACTGCAGGAGCGGAGCCATAAATCTTACCGACCCCTCACTGTATTCACCTTCCGACTGAACTACCTCTTCAGTGAGCTGAGTGCAGCTTCCTACCATCTCTTCAATGTGGTTTTACACGGCGTAGTATGTGTGCTTTTCCTGCGAGTGTGCCGATTGTTCCTGGACAAGACTTCCAGCTTGGTGGCAGCTTTGCTGTTTGCTGTGCATCCCATCCATACTGAAGCTGTAAGTGTACATTTGCTGGGTGAATGCAAGTTATGTAATTTATGGTTTGTCAAAAATAACTTAAAAACCTTGACAAGATTAGATTTACAAACTGAAATCACAGCGATTACTGCTGTTTTAAACTGAATCACTGACTTAAAGCGGAATATGTTTCTCTGCCAGAATGTGAGCACTGACTGAAATGGTATCAATGATATCATAACTTCCTTAATGTGATGTATTTCCTTAGAGATCCATTTTAACAGCAAAGTAATGAGCTAGCAGTTATGGAGAGAAATTAAGTTATGATGCTTGTTTGGCTTTTCACTTACACTCATATGTGCAGCATTGGGTCACCACAAAAGACATGTCCCTGATTTTTCTAATCGTTTATCTTTAGCTTCACATGAGGCCCCTCTCTCAATAGAAGTCCCTTCACTGAGTCCCACCAGTGTGGAAAGACCAGGAATGTTGGAGAAATGCATTGTAAGCATCAGACAGGTGGTCTTGCAGTGCCGTTGTCCATACAATTATTATTACTATTGCACCATTCTCCTGTTTGACTTTCACCATCCACTTGAGCTTATAAGTATGCAAAACATAACATTCCTGGTATCTTTCAAAACAGGCGACAAGCCAAGATAATCCTTAGTTCACAATCATCCATCTACGACTGTATAACCAATAGAGGGGCAGCACTCACTATGTCATGAAATGCAACCTTTCACAAATACATCACACAAAATGGAGCCAATACATCAGGTCTGAAAACATTGGTCCTCCTGTTAAGATGAAAAGAAAACATAGGATTAAGGTCCAAAATGTACATAGACAGTAAGGTGTGAAAGTTATAAGCCATGTGTATATGTACATACTGTACCCACCTTCACTGAACAGGGGAGGAGGATTAGGAAATCACTTGTGCGCAACACTGCTGTAACATCAATGCCTCTGCATTGCTCCAACATGCCCATCACCTCTGTCTACAGGGTGGAGCATCATAGTTAGACAGTGTCTCAGTTTTGGCACTTATATTGTTGGGTGAATGTTTCCTCCACGGAATCAATACTAAAGCCACAAAGTAAAGGGACTGCACTTGTATAACACTTTTCTAGTCTTATTGACCACTGATAGCGCTTTACACTTGAAGCCACATTCACCCATACACCATTGCATATGCATACAGCACTTTTCAAACACACCCACAATGTTACATCAGGGTTCAGTATCTTGCTCAAGGAAACTTCAACATGCAGACTAGAGGAGCCGGAGATTGAACCACCGATCTTCTGATTAGTGGACAGGTGATTTGTATATTTTTTAAAAATAATAAAATAGTGACCAAGAGGTGAAACAACTGCCCACATAGTATATTGTTAGATCCTGTTTAGGGTGTGACCGTACCTTATCCAAGACACCCCCTCCTCTGTTGTGGACCATGTTTAAGTACATGCTATCAAGTCACTTATAAAGTGATTAAGGCAATTGCAGTTACTGCAACTGTCATTTAAGTTTAAGGTATTGAATATTTCAATTATTTTTAAAACTTAAAAAGAATCTTTTTGAAATTGAAAGTTAGTTCTTGCAGCTGTTTATCGTGGATGTTATCGAGATCACAAAGTTGTGTGAACTTGATCGGAGACCAAAAACCTTTTTGCTTATTGTTGGTCATTTTATCTCAATCTCACTCTCTTCAATAGGGCCTGTCTGAAAAGCCTCTTCCCCAATTAGGACTTGTAATTCATCCTATTCAGCATAGCTGAACTGATGACCAGACAGGCCCTGACCAGAGCAGAAAAACAAAGAAAACATTCTGCTTCTTCGGGAGGAGTGCTACTGTTACACAGCATGCACCGCTGCACCAGTCTTCCTCATGGTGTTCTCTAATCTATGCAGAGTCTCTCAGACTTCTTGAATGGAAACAATTTGCCTCACAAATGAGCCCTTAGAGTTACTCCAGCAAATGCCCTTCATGTTATCGCCGTCTGGAATCTCTCTGAACGGATCATTTGTTTTTGAGTTATGCTCCAAGCACTGAAGGTCCCTTCATGATACGTACGTACAAAGACTCCCTGTGTGTCCCCGTGTCGTTCTCAGTGTCTTTTTTGGTTATCTGACTTTTTGAATGGAGGCTTCAGTTTTTTTAGTATCTCCAAGTACCTTCAAATACAAATTATTTAGTGTAGTCCACAACAGTATCTCAAGGCTCTAAAATGGCATTATAGCTAAGTGCTCACTGATAAGCTGTGCCCCATCACTGTACACACAGCCACAGAATGGGAATTGTAGTCTGGGCAGTTCATCCAAATTGAACTAACTGTAGTCAGCCTTTCTACCATTCTGTTGAATTAGCTTTGGTGAACTGAAGTTTAAGGCTGTCTATAAGCGGATGTATTGGCACGCTCCTTAGATTTCTTCCTTAGATTTCCTTGTAAGTTTTGAAATGTGCCTTCTTCAGCTCACCCTAATGTTAAAGACCAAATCAGAGAAGATTCATTTGATAAAGAAAACTGATAGCATAAAATAGGTTTAGACTTATTTAGATAAGGCAGTGCTTTGCTATGTTTTACAGCAATCAGTGTAATCAAATTAAAACATCGAATATAGGAGTATCCTTGTAGACAAATGGCCCCTGCATAGGAATTTGGGCACATTATCAAATGAGCTAATGCAGCAGTGTGGCTGCCTGATAACATAAGTGTAGGTAAGTACTGTGACTCTGTTTGTGCAGCGGGCTTCACACCCATTCAAAGGACTGATGTATACTAGTTGCAGCTAAATGGGCAGCCAGTGAATTATTTCCTCTGCTACCAAGTGACAAATAGTAGGAAAGAATGAACAATGCATGTACCTTGTTTAATCTAGATGTTAATACCTTTTTCTAGGAAGTTGCAACCCTCTTGTAAATGCTTAATGTGCTCTTAAGGGATACACACTGGGCACATTAGACTGTTGCTTTGTGCAGTGCTGTGTAGAACCATTAGTGGGACCTTATGTGTGGTTTTAGGGTATGTCAGTTTCTAAGAACTCAGGCCCTTTGGTTATGGTAGAAGTAAGAATGTTGTTTCTTCCACATGAGGGCAGTCATCATTTACACAAATGGCAGACGATGCTGTCAGAGAGCCCATTTTATCCCGGAATGTATTTCTGCTTGCAATCCATTCAGATGATTTACCTGAAAAAGCCTGTTTTCACAACTGGATTCAAGGACTTAAACATGCAGACTCAAGTTACTGCCAGTTGTGTATGTGTGTATTGTTTTCAAAGTGATTAGAACCGAGCTTTATTCTCTATATTGGTTTACTCAAGGTGTATTAGGAATATCCTGTTGTCGGATCTGCTCCCACACTTCCCCCACAGGTTAAGTAAATTAAGTCAGTTTTAAGAAAAGCTCTTACTAAATCTGTGTAGACTGGCTGAAATACTGACTGCTGTCACTCTTTATCATCAGGTCACAGGTGTGGTTGGCAGAGCTGAGCTTCTGTCTTCAATCTTCCTTCTGGCTGCTTTCCTGGCCTACACAAAATCAACAGGTGCAGACCACTCCATTGGTAAGTCTAATGTAGCTCAACTGGCTCTCACTTATTTACTGTGTGTGTCATGTACAAGATGTGCTGGCTTCATTTCATGTAGGGTTTTTATTTCACACGTGCACTCCCCTTAAGACATTGTAAACATTCAAGACGGAGGCAGGAAGCCAACTTGCGACCTCTTTGGAAAGGTCTTTAACAATGTTGCAGTCCTCATTCATTAAAAAGTAGAAATAGTCCACAGTCAAACGTTTGTATGAATGAGGAGGTTTATGGACACAGGAGGGGTTCGAACGAGATCAGACATCTGGCTCAGAGGGAAACTGTCACGGCTTAGTGCCAATTCAGTTTGCATTTTGAAAACTATTATTATAACTAAATTATTTTTTTTATTGATATTCTGTCTTTCCAGAGAATAATTGCCAACATACTGGCTTCTGGTTGTCTACTGTAATTATATTTACACTTACAGTGTTCATTGTTAAAATTCTGATGCAGATTCACCTGTGTTTTCTACATTTCATATGCTTTTAACTGTTATTTAGTCAGTGTGTGGGAATTGTTGTTATTAAATACACGTGTTTATGTGGTGTGTTTCTGTAATTGCACCCTGAGGAAACTTTTTATGCTGCAACACATGGCTTTTTAGAGATGCACTGATCAATGGGCTGGCCAGTTTTCAGTGTGATCAGCTGTGATAGGTGATCTGATCAGTCTCAAATATCAGATTCTATGCCAATCAAATTTACACTCATGCGCCACATGATGGTTCACATCGTGCAACAGCACAGACGCAGCCCCACACACACACAACCTGCCGTCGCCGTGGAAGCTCTTCACCGTGAGTGAAGAAGATATAAATCACCAAATCTTTGAATTTGTAATATGTGTAAGGCCAAAGTAAGCCATGGAGGAACAACCATGAACACATTCAGAAAAACAAAGTTAATCAGACACATAAAAAACACCATCACCCTGCTGAACATGTCCAGTTTCAAGAGGCAAAGGCAAAGCAGCTAAAACTAGTGCCACACAGCTTACCTCACTTGTGCATGACGTCTACCTCGCTGAACTGCTGCTGCACCTCGCACGCATGGGTCCACACCGCCAGTGTTGCTGCTGTGCCTTAGATAATGGCCATCAATAAGGAAAAGTGAAGAGTTGTAACCAGAAAGCAGTCACATGATTTTTGTTTACCTTCATTCAGACAGCCAGACAGAGAGACAGAGAGCAAGCGAGTTAATAGTCAATGTGTTATTATGAACATACAACTGAATTGTCAATTAAAAAGAGTCGGCCAAAATTGGAAATGGCAGGTCAGAAATCAGAATCAGCCAAGATGATTGCAATCGGTGCATCTTAATTTTATGCACTAAACATGAAGAACCATTTATAACAGAAGGTTTTCGAACTTTTAATAGGATTCAAATTGATTCAAATTGCTCTAGTCTTGCATTTACATTTCAGTGAAACAAACCAACAAAAGCCATGACATCAGGTCATGACAATAATTTAAGTCTCAACTACAGGCCAACCATTACTAGATTTTTAAGATTGATTCTAACAGATTTGAAGGGGAGCCCTGGTGACCTTGGGATTGGGATGCCAAGCATGAGCTGGACTGTCCCCTGTTTGCATCTGGCCGGAGGCCTTTATTGCATGTTATTCCTTATTTTTTTGTCCTCATTTCCTGTCTTCTCTCTAATGTCATTGTTCAAGGAACAAGGGCATAAAAATGCTCAAAAAATAAATCAGATAATGATATTTCAGCTGATTTTTTTTTATGTAAACATGTATTGAGCAGGACATTTTACTGTTGAAAAATAAACTTTTCAAACCTTACTGGTACAAACAACTTGATGGCGATACAGTTATTAAATTACCTCAGACATACAATGTCTACTGCATTTCTTTACTGCAATTACTTGTTAGTCAGCGGCCAAAATGTGCACACATACCAATGTGTCTATAATGAGCTAAAATCACTTAATTATTAGTCATGCAGACAGATCAGTCAGGCTGTAGTTCCAACTAGTAAGTTTGCATTGTGTTCATTCTTTTGTTTGACTCATATTGGTATAGGTTGTTGTGTTGGAATCACCTGCCAGGTGTCTGTTAGCACTGTTCCCCAGGCACCTGGCAACTCCTTTAAGCTGTGTCCCAATTCAGATGCCAGATCTTCGAAAGACCTGAGACTTGAGCCTTCTTTTCCTTCCTGAGACAGTCATGCCACACCGGGACCAAAATTAATGGTCTGTTCAGAGACTTCTCATTAATTCACAGTCAAATATTTCAAAGTTCATGACCAAAATGTGGCCCTTAATTGGCCAGCATCCACCCTGCTAACAGGAGCAAGCACAGGACCTAATGCCTGACATCCATTATTTTCACCCTGCAGTGGCTTTTTTCATTGGTCTATTAAAGTTCAAGTGGTATTTTTGAAGTGACTGATGACCAGGTAAAAGTGAACACCTGATTACATGATATCTACCGACTTTACAGAAAGCTGCTTTTGTCTCAAGAGAAGCTGCCCATTCAAGAATTTGCCAAATGTGAATATAATGGATGTGTGTCACAAACTGGTTCAATTAATGTCACAATAAGGGAGATCACACAAAGTTACACTATATAACTAAAACATAACACAAGCAATGAGGTGTGGAAATCAGCAAGTTTAGTCATGAAAATGGTGCGTGTATGAGTGGTACATGCACTGTGGTGGAGTTGTATGTGCAAAAACAAAACACATGGATGTCAGCAGATGGAAGGGAGAGGAGCGAGCACACGGGCAAACCTTTATACTCTGGAAGGTCCAGGTGAACAGCATCAGCTGACGACTCCCCCATGCCGACCCAACTGCCTGCCAGTGTGGGCAAGGACAACCTCCAAGAACATGGGAGGGGCATCACACCCCCTCTTAAGATCAAGGTTCCGCCTTGACATCTGAAAACAAGTCAAAAGACAATACCATAATGTCATAAATTATTATGTCTTACATTCCCTCAGTTTAAACAGTCAACTACAATGGCCATTACCCAAACCCATACAGCAACCACTGCTACCCAATCTTACCAGCTCTGATCCCCCACCCAGCAACCTTGGATCCAGAGGAGCAATTTAAGGATGAGAAAAAGCTAGCAGAACAGGGCAAATGAATTGCAGGTAACAAGTCACATGACGAGTGCATACTAATGGCATTGTCTGTATACACCCATAAGGAATAATGTAGAACAGTATTTGCATTTTCCCCAAGAACACAGGAAAGTGAGGAGCAAGTTCAACCATTGACCCAAAGTGTGTTATCAAATTCTTGCTCAAAATGAGCACCAAAGCTCATCACGAGTGTCCAACAAACCATGGCCTGCAGCTAGACAAAGCAAATTAATTGCCCTGCCTTCACAAAACTCCAGCCTCCAAACACACAAAACTGAAATTAACATACAGCACTACCCTAAAGTAGCATACCCAAAGGTTCCCCCAAAACCAAAGGCTCACTAGGCAAACGAATTGCCCCAAGGCACACAACAAAAGGAAACAAGCTACAACAAAACTCGAACAAAGCATGAGCTGCAGTGCTTATGTTTACAAAGCTACCAGGCCAAACTAAAAAGTTGCGGACACACAACAACATCTGAAGGATGGAGAATTTTCTCCCTGCAATTATTCTTCAACCCTAGTCTTCGGACAGGTACTAGTGTTGGGTACTTATGCACTGATTCCACCAGGACCAAAAAGGCAGCCAGAAACTGGGGACCCTCTAGAAACCAGGGAAATGGTCCGAAATCCTGGTCTTAACCCATGTTCTGATTGGTCTCGTGTTGAGATCAACCACTTCATACAAAGGGGAAGCTTGGCTCCAGCAAACTGAAATGTAGCTGTGCTCACCCAAAGCTTACGTATAATAAAGCTCAAAATGGGTTTGCAAGCCAAAATAATTAGGGACGAATGCTGCTCCCTTCCAACATCCACCAAAACTAACTCCACAAAACTAGAGCAACCGGTCTAACCAACAGTATGAAAAAAAAACTTGGCATGACACTCCCAAATACTTTAACTACAATGGCCACAAACTAAAATGTTCAGTAACACCAACTCTCCAATTCACAATAGGACAAGCCTCCATAATCACACCAAGACTGGATATAACCTTACTGAATGGGTTTGGTGATCGGAGGCGAGCCCCCACTTGTCACAAACTGGTTCAATGAATGTGACAATAGAGGAGTTACACTAAAAAAACAAGCAATTTATCTAACTAAAACACAAGACAAATAAGCAATGAGGTGTGGAAATCAGCAAGTTTAGTCATGAAAGTGGTGCATGTATGAGTGGTACATGGCCCAGGTGCACAGCATCATCTGATGACTCCCCCATACCAACCAATTGCCTGCCAATGTGGGCAAGGACAACCTCCAAGACAATGTTGTATAAATGTTGTACATAGTTCGTCTGTAATTTATGTATATTGTTCCATTTTTCAGTTTGGGCTCCCATCGCTTTGACAGTCGTTCTCGTGGCTGCAGCGACACTGTGTAAGGAGCAGGGAATCACTGTCGTCGGCATCTGCTGCGTCCATGAAGTGTTCGTTGCACAAGGGGTAAGGCTCCCTAATCTTGGCTGGCTTTTTGCAATAGGCTTTGTCTGAGCATAAGCTGAGAGGTAGCGTTAACAAGCAAGCCTTTTTTAACAGTATATCAGACAGATACATAAGACATTCATATTGAACAAAACACTAAACGCTGGCAAAATGATTTTAAAAATGTTTTACATCAAACACTAAAATCACAAAGGAATAGTCATTTAGAGTTTAGACAGTAGTGGAATTTAAATCTGAAAGTGTGTATGAACCCTTTACACTATAATGTTGAGTTTATTCTCCCTCCCTGTCTTTCTCCCTCTTCCTGCTCTCAGTTTACCTTGCCCATGCTGTTGGACACACTGCGGCAAGTCCTGCAGGGTAAAGACGGTTTCCCCTACGCTGTCCTGCAAACTCTGCTGAAGCTCATTGTGCTCATCATCAGCACCCTGCTGCTTGTCATCATCAGAGTCCAAGTCATCCAGTCTCAGCTTCCCGTCTTCACCAGGTAGGCAGTGTTATCCCATCATTGGCAACACAACGCTGCTCAATCAATCAATCGACTTTAAATGTATAGCACTTTTCATAAATAGTTAGTGCAGTTCAAAGTGCTTCACAGACGACTGATAAGCTCAAAAAAAGGACAAATCAAGTAAGAAAGCAACAATGAGATACAATAAAATAAATTTAAAAAGCTTTAATAACATGCGCAAAAAAAAGTGAACAGTATAAAGTGATTGACTAAAAACCATATTTAATTAAAAGCCAGGCTGAAGTGGTACATTTTGAGTTTGTTTAAAGATTTCAACACTTCCGGCTGCTCAAGTTGCATCTGTCTCACAACCTTTAAGGCAACTTCTCCCTTATTTTGTTGACCTCATTGGTTTTTATTATAGTATAAGGAATTGATTTGTATTTTATTACAAATATACTAAAAGCACACTATTTCATATAGACTTTTATTGCTCTGAACAGCGTGAAGTGATTATTTTTAGGATGATAATAATTTGTTTTTAATGGGTTGTAGTAAAATCTTCGAGTTGGACCAGTTTTAAAAAAAGTGCAGCTTTAGAGCTGCTGCATCTTATCTGCACAAAAGGAAAAGACATTTGTAGGTACTAAAGGGCAGCGGAACACACTAACATCATGATTTGAATGTAAATGGATTGCATGATTATATAAACACATTATACTAGTCTAGTTCTTTATTTATTTCAGATTATGTAATAGTTTACATAATGTCTTTATTTATTTGATTAAAGTAGAAAATCTTCCCATGGCTTCTCACTTCCTGCAGCTGAAGGCTGTGACTGAAAGGCCTACATTCATTTTCCAGTGCACACAGGGCTCTGCATGAAAGTGAATATACATGCATACATTTGCATTGTAGTTATTCTTATTCAGTGTTGCTCTCATTCCTTGATCGCAAACGCTGACAGCAACCATATTTTTCAAACTTTTTGGTGCACATATGACTTCCACTAAGTTATGAGTATCCTAGATAGATACCGGGCCCCCCCTTAACACGGGCTGATATCCCCTTCAGGGAAATATGTGTGTGTGATATTTATGGTGTTGGTGGAGTTAAAGATGAGATTGTTATCACTGCGAAGGAATTTTCTGATAGGTCCACAGAGCTTGTGGAGAGCACGAGATCGCCTCTTGCTCACAACACTGTTCCTAATGACAAAGTAGCTTTGAGATGGGCGTGGAGCTCAGTGCAACCCTCACACACGCAGACCCTGTGCATCACAACGCATCTGTGATTATATATTCTAAAATAATTCATAGACTGATCATATCTTTGCAGTATATTATTCTAGTAATTACTTACTATTAGTAATTATTGTGATTCGAGAACTAATTATTATTAAGAGTATTTATGCAGTATGTAAATCCCAATAATTAGCATGAAATTCATTCATCCAAGACAAACCGAGTTCTCAGCTGCTCTCTAAACAATGTTAGCATGATTTAAAAAAAATGTCCTCGTCCTACTCATTAACTTTAAAATCCTTTTGTGTCACAGCAAATTTGAGTTTGTGGCCAACTGTGCTGTTAAGACAGTTGCTTTGTCTTTATGAAGACATTTTGATCTTGACATACTGAACACCAATGAATAAATAAGGAATTTTGTCTTGTCATAGTTTGTTTGTTTTTTTTGTTCAAAAAAATGTGTGGGTATCAAACTAGGGACCACGCATCATAACAAAGTGAAGTGAGCATTTATTACCATTAAACTTTATTAACCTACATAGAACTGCAACGGTAGCAAGTGTCAAACACTGGTATTTTTAGTTTAGAAGCAAAGAGCCAAAAATCAATGTGTATATGTCTTTAAATTCAGTTTTGTACACAATCTGTCATCAGAAGCAGCAAAAACCACAATCTGAAGTGTAAAGAGACAGATATCTGTACATCCTGTATGGAGGCATGGCTCCAATATTTAATCAACTTCACAAGGAGAAATTCTCTACTTTAGATGAACTACATGACCAGTAAGAACACTATGCCAGTGTCCAAATGTTAATAGTTTGATTGAATTTAATCTAAACTATTTTGAAATTGACTGCACAGGATTCCACATAGACTCAATCTGATGGCATTTGCTTGTGAAGATAAAATTCCAGACAATTAGCCTAGATATGCTAATCCCCTCACTGTAATCCTAAAGCTGTCTCCAGATTGTCTGGGAGAAATTCTGTGTTCAAGCCATAACAATACCACATATTTAGATTATCACCTTCCCAGTTGTGATTTGCGGTCCTCTAAACTAACTACCTGCTGCACCAGAGAAGTTCAGATACAAATAGGGGCTAGTGGTGCTTACCTTGAACACCAAAGAGAGATGGATCACGAGTTAAGGATGTGGCGTTGTCACACGGCAGCTGCGTAGACAAAACATGTGCATTGTGACTGTAGGATAAAGACGATATTCATTCACATTTTAGATCATATATTTTCATTATTGAAAAAATATTTTTGCACTGCTTGTAACAGAGTTTAAGAATGTCGACATCAGTTGGTTATTTGGTTGTCCATCTGACATCGGTACAGGCAAAACACGAGTTCATAATCGGGGTCACCAGAGGTCGGATGAATCCCATTGTTTTTGCCGACCCCCTGACACACGTATTCCTAAGTGAATAATAAAAACAGACAACTTCTTTACTTTAGATATGCTAACAGACTTTTCTTTAGCATTACTACAACAAAAATGGTATTGATTTAGCAAAACATTGAGATTTCATCTCCCAACTGGTGGTGTTGGGATTAAGGGTTGTTATGGGAAACTTTGGGGGCTCACCATGATGACAGAGAGTGTGAGGGTATCATGTACCAGATTAACTGTAAAAAAAATGTAAACAATGCATCAGTCTGATGCATTGGACAGGAACATCCATAATCACTGAATGTTCTATACAATGTGATTTAAGATACCGATATGGACAGATGGATATAGAGATAAGGATGTAGATATATATAGGTACCATTTTTACAGTTCTACATGAATACATAAAGTAAAACCGAATACTGCAGGTCAAAATGAATATCAAGAGATCTGATATATAGTAGGCCTACGTGCTTATTATGCCTCAGTCATCTCTTTGAGATGGATGAGAGAGAAGATCGCACTTCAGCTGGTCCAAAAGATTCAGATACTATCATCAACAAATGTATAAAACTTAACCTGCAGAATTTCATGAGGTATAGTGAGCGTACATGCACCGTACACCTCGAATATCTCTTTATTGAGATGGATGAGAGCGAATACTATCATCAATGGAATTTGATGTGCTATATCTGATATGGTGCAGTTGTCACCTGACGACAAGTGTGTGAACCTACCAAGCAGCCAGGGGCTTTTCTGTGTGGAGTTTGCATGTTCTCCTCGTTCCTGTGTGGGTTTCTGAGGTGCTCCGGTTTCCTCCTACGGTCCAAAGACATGCAGGTTTAACTGCCTGTAGGTCTTGAATGGTTGTCTCTATATGTCAGCCTGTCCAGGGTGTTCCCTGCCTCGGCCCAGTGTCAGCTGGGATTGGCTCCAGACCTGCCGCCAACCTAAAAGGATAAGCAGTGTAGCTAATGAATGGACAGATAGATGGATATCAGACTGCAGACTTGTATGCTTATCAAACCTCCTATTTTCACTGTAAAATAAGACTCATTATATCTACACTCTGTAGCTCCTAAACCACTGATAATCAAACTCTTTAATCAAATTCTGGACCTCAACACATTCCAACACCATGTAATATTCTCACTAACTTTTCCTCTCTAAGACAGCTGATAATTTTCTATCCCACAGTACGGTTGCATGTACTAGGCCATGGTCTTGGTAAAGAGCCATTCTGATTAGCTACAAGAGTCTATAGAGAGACTATACACTATTAAAGGCCACACAGATGAAAATCTCATTCCAAATGAGATTTGAGGGAAACTATATCCGAGGTGGAAATATTGTAAGGTGGCTGTGACTCACTGACTGTGAGTTTACACCCGACTCTCCAGATCCAGTGAATGTGGTCCCTTAGTTCTGCAGCAAAGTTAGCTAATTAAATTTCATACATTTTCTATATGTTATGTTCTATTATGACAAGTTTTCTACCTTCCAAATTTTATCATGCTGCAATTGTGCTCTTCTTAAACAGACTACTGAAAGCTAAAATAGCATTTTTGCATGTTTGACTTGTTCGGTGTACATGTTAAAACAAATGGGACAAATAATCTGCACTCGTTTCATATTGTCATCATTATTAAAAGTCTTTAATAGTGTGGTTTTTCATTGTTTTTCTCTTTTCCTCACAAATATTATGCCAGTCATAATGCAAATCATTTTTTAGCATCCCCTGCCCTATCCAGTTTTATTGGTTAAAATTAACTTTTTTTTTCTTCCGTGTCCTCTTGTAGATTTGATAACCCAGCAGCAGTCAGCCCCACTCCCACAAGACAACTGACTTTCAACTACCTACTTCCTGTGAATGCATGGCTTCTGCTGAATCCCTCAGAGCTCTGCTGCGACTGGACCATGGGCACCATCCCCCTGGTGGAGTCGCTCCTCGACCTCCGTAACCTGGCCACTCTGCTCTTCTACTCTTTCCTGGCCCTGCTGGCGTACCACAGCCTGCGCTACAGACACAGCTCTGCCAAGACTGTCATCATGGTGAGAGGATGACGTTTGGGCAGAAATCACATGTATGGTTACAATTTACATATAGTTAAAGTGCAGAAGTCTCACTGCTGCATTGGTTAGCATGCTGTAGTTGTGGGTGAGTGAGTCGCTGTTGTTAATTTCAAAGGTATGATGTGGGGGAGGCAGCATGGGTTGGCACAGGGTGTTATGGGAAAAGTGAACAATGTAAGACTGGTGTGCCACATAGCCAACTACATATTGGACCCCCTTTGATTTGGGAGAACACCACAAGATTCTTGAATTATTGGTTGGAAGCACGACATGGCTCTACCAACTGTCTTTATACCCAACTCAAGTTGTACATCGTTTCCTTCCTTGTGAAACAAACGAAGGCTTTCAAATCAAATGAGGTTCCAGTATTTGGTATTATTGATTACCCTCTAGTACTTTCACATTAAAAAGTCCTTTGTTCTGTAAATTCACTACAAAGTATTCAGATCAGGCAGAACAGCTTCATCAGATGTCAATAGTTTAGAAATGGAAAAAAAAAACTCCTTTTGTGTCTTTTACCCAATGGCTTCACTAAGGCCATTAAATAAAGTGGTTCCTCGTGTTTAACAGGAACAACAAATAATGATACTTTATCCTACTAAATTGGGTATTGGATTAACTACGATTTGCTTGAGACAGATTTTTATTTTCATAGTAGCCTGTGTCCCATTGTTAAGGTTCTCACCGTTGTTGTTCACGTTCTGTTTTTTTATTGACAACATGATTCCTGTGACGTTCTCTTCATGACATTGCTGAATCAGTAACTGAGAATAAAATCAAAATTGCACGTCATGATTATCTTCATCAGCTTTATCATAAAATCAAATAAATTATTTTTAAATTTGGCAAACAAGTAAATAAAATAATAAAAATAGGCTACAAAGACCATCACAAATGAAGAGAGATAAAACATCTTTAAAGGAATGAATGAGCGCTAATTGTTCATTGTGGCACAGATACAACTTAGCATCTGTTGTGCAACAGGCCCATGGCTCTCGTACTTAAAGGTCAGTAAACTTCCTCACAGTATTGCTCTTAGCTTCAGTCTTAGAAAAGGGGACCACAAATCAACACAAATATTGACCTTTGTAGTGTTTACTCTGCTTTGTTGAGAGCATTTTGGAATATGTTGCATAACAATATCATACCACATCAACATACATAGAATCATTGCCGCTGTCTCACATGTGGCATGAGACACATTGAAAAGGACAGTTTTTTAGTGAGGAGCCCTGCTCTGTTACCCTGGATTGCCTACAGTATGGTGGCTGCAACTGATGATTACTTTCATACTTCATTTCTTGAATAATTGCTTATTTGTCTAAAAAATGTCGGACGATGGTGAAACATGCCCCTCAGCATCTATTAGAATATTGTCAGTTCTGTCCCACCAACAGTCCAAAACCCAAAAGACAGTCTTCTATGACAATACATGGACTAAGAAAAACCACAAATAGTCACATTTGAAAAGTCCAAAACCTTCAAATATTCTAATTTATGTCAATGAACAGCAGCAAATCCTCAGAGAAGTCAGGACTTATGAATTGTTGGTTTTGTGTTAAAAAATAACTGAAATGTTTAATACAATATCAAAATAGTTGACAATTAATTCTCTGTCGATCGAGATATCGTTAATTTGACTAATCGTTTGAGTCCTAGTGTATCATTTTAATACTTTTTGCATGTTTCTGACACGTTTTAGGAAGATCTCTGAACTTTGCTATGTAGTTATGTCAATGCATCGAAATCTGAAGTCATTTTTTCTGTCTTTCTCTCAGGCCCTGTCTTTGATCGTCCTGCCTTTTATACCTGCGTCCAACCTCTTCTTCCCTGTGGGCTTTGTCGTGGCAGAGAGGGTGCTGTACGTACCCAGTATGGGCTTCTGTGTTCTCGTTGCACACGGGTTTAAGATTGTTTCGCATAAAGGGTGAGTGCTCATCCAAAATTATGTTTCCCCCTTATAATGTTACAACAAAAAGCTGTAATATGTCTGTCATTCCCTAACAGTCAAAACAAATTGCTCACACCCCTGTGCCTCAGGGAAACATGAATACACACGTCTATTGCTGTGAGCGCATTTTTAACTAGGCAGCTGTTACTACAATGTCGAGGGTTACTCTAATTTTGTGTGGCTTCAATTTTGCCCTTTATTTTGTAAAATAAGTTGCAGTTATTACATATACAAAGCCCTTGATATTAAGACCACAGGGCACCCTTATACTAGAGCTGTTCCAATACTATTTTTTTCTCCCGATCCCAATACCTGAACATATACCGACTACCATTCCAACACCATTGCATTAAAAATAAATTTTAACAGATGTATGTTAACTATGATAACTATGTCTGGATGTGATATTATTGCTGTCATTGTTGTATGGCATGGCTCAGGTTAAACCTTTTGTAAAACATGAACAGATATATGAATGCCATAGAATCTATCTATTATTATCTAATTTGACTGTCAATCAAAAGAATAAATAAAAATTCTTGAAATAAATAACACTTCCTACACAAGCTGTCCGAACACTAGTGCTGCTGCTCAAAATGACAGCCTTGCATACTGTACACATTGCCTTTCCAGTGTAAAATATTGCTGACATTTTGCTAACAGCTAATGTTTCATTATTTCCCAGCAATAAATTCTTCTTTGCCGCTCTAAAAAAGTAGTATACAGCGCAACTTCCATTGTAGGCGGAGAAGAAGAATTGATTGATCAGGGTGTGAAACTACAAAGTTCATTAATAAATTACATGGTATCGGATCGCTGCATAGACTCCAGTGCTCCCCCGACACCTGATACTAGCATTGGAACGACTCTGCCTTATATTACTCACTTAAGTGTTCAATGTCAAATGTGAGCAATTTGAAGTTTTTGGTTTATTGTATCAGCAAATCAGTATAATTGAACTCTTTCCATTGCAGTCACTTGAAGAAGATTTCCTGGTTGATGATTGGAGTGCTCTTAACTACGCATGCAGTGAAAACCTTCAACAGGAATTGGGACTGGGAGTCAGAATACACTCTATTCACGTCTGCCCTGAAGGTAAGACGGAAAGAATCAAAGCAGCATTGCCAGAATATCTTGGCCCATCCTGCCAAAGACATCCTTCATCACCTTGTAATAAAAAGCCTGATTTATGAGTCTAACAGAAGACTCATCTTCACTAAATAATAATGATGGATCTGTCATGTTTCTGAAACCGTCTGCCACTTCAGGTAAACAAAAACAACGCCAAGTTGTGGAACAATGTTGGCCACGCTCTAGAGAATCAAAATAATTATGCCAAGGCACTGCGGTACTTTCTCCAGGCCACTCGTGTTCAGCCAGGTAAGAAACATAAATCATGACACCATTTTTGACATTTTGGTATCGCACATGTAATGAAAAAAATTCTAGCAGACTTGTCAGATTACTCTAACAAGGTTAAAGGGGACATGTGATTTCTTTATTTTCACATGATGTGTTGCTTTCGGCGGGATACACAGTGCATTTGTAAAGTTGTGTATAATTTAATAAACCCTTTTCTTGTTGAGTTGTCAAACAAATGCCTTTTTAAGTGCATGTCAATGTTAGTCAGGGTCTGCTTGTATTTGCCAGTGCGGTTTTCCTGTGCTTGTTAAGATGTGACTACAGAAACGACTGAATTACATGTACAAGTGCAGTTACATGAGTGACTCATTCTCCTCTGTGAGTTCTCAGCTCAGCAACATGAGGAGGCTTAATGCCAGAGAGTCGCTGCCTGTGTTACTGCATCAGTCACTTAAATTGTAAAATTATGTAATGCATAATAGTAAGGGAAACAATTTCCTTAACAACACAAGACATTGTACTATCACCTACAAAAATGCAGGGATGCATTATTGTAAAATGTTTCTGTTAATGTCTCCACTCCTCTGTTAGTTAAGGCTCTGATCCCTTATGAATCCTACTGTATAAAGTGAGCACACTCTTGAAAGAGGCTAACAAAGGCCATTGTTTATTGTTCACAGGATCACTAATAGCTTCCACCAACGCAGTAGCTAGTTTCCCTGTGGTCCGCAGTGGAACAAGAATAAAATGGACAGGAAAAATGTAAACGTGGCAAAAATGAGAGGAAATGGTTTATTAATAGATTAATACAAACCAAGGGAAGAAATAAAACTACATTTAGGAATGTAAGAGGGTATTCTGTGTAAGAGTGAAACTGAATGAGTCGATTTTCCAGGGATCTCAAGGGTGATGAAATAAACTTCAACACTCATATAGTATTACTTAACTTCTACTTCAATTATAAATCCAGGGGTTTTTAATGTTCATATATTTTTTTTGGATCTTTTTTTCATCGAAGCTTCTCTCCACACATGTTTAACGTACAGGTTATTGTTTGATGAAGCCGTTAATTATAATCTTAGAACTCGTGACCGCTTGCACCTGACAAACCTATATTCAACTCGTACTTAGTTTTAATGAAGAACATGTGCAGTTAGAGCCACTCCCGGTGTTTTCCGTTTTACTTCATAGCTTATTTTTCAGGAAGTCTGTTCAGCTGAGACTTGTGCCCTCAAGATTAACAATGTAAACACATTAACCCGATGAGGATTTCCTGTTATGCTAATCATCAAGCGTCAGCTTTGCTTGACCTGACTGACTCCTTTTCAACACTTCACTTTTCTTAGTCGTTTCCAGAAGGTTTCCAGTGATTTGAGACTCTCATAATTCATTCTTAACATTAGCTGAGATATTTGTGTAATGTTAAAACAAAGCTAAGCTGAAGAACCGGTGGTTAAAAGGGTCAATAAAGATGAAAACTTGACTTTGTTTTCTCTGTTGCCTTTCCTCATACTCCCTAAAATGTATTTTGCAGATGACATCGGTGCTCACATGAATGTTGGAAGAACCTACAAGAACCTGAACAAGTCCAAAGAGGCAGAAGATGCCTACTTGGTTGCCAAATCCCTCATGCCACAGGTATCATGTTGTATCATGTCGCAGACAGTCGCCGATGTTTGGAGCCAGGCTAAAGTTCAAACATGAACTCTTCATTCATCAATCAGGCGAAGCGACAACTCTTGGCTTCTCACCATTCATGTATTTTCCTGCTTCCTCCTGTGCACTTGTTATTGATGCTGTGGCAGTGCGGCGCGTTGTAGGTGGAGTTTAACACCTAATGGCAGCGGATCTCATGATCCACAACAAGCTATGTGTTTAGTATCTATATATGATGTAGCCAACAACAATCCTTCCATGAGCAGCTACGTGTTGTCTAACCACAAAATATGTTGGTTTATCTCTAGAGAGCTGCCTTTGTCCTCATTGTCAATAGCCGCTTTTATACAGCCTGTTCATGGTGGGATTGTTGCCCCCTTTACTCCACCTTGTCGTTCTGTATGAAAGGTACCGCAGTAAGCCAGCACTGGAGGTAGTCACAGATCAACATCCGTGTAAAAGCGAAAGCCTACATGGCGGAGACACTATTGTGTAACACATCATGTCTCTATCGCACATAGCGGTGGCATCATGCTGGCTTTGTTTGGTTCAGTGTAAACAAACAAAGCCGGCATGAAGGACGGTCTTCTTAACATCTATGTAGCGGCATCTCTGTTTAAAAAAGGAAATTATTATTGTTTGTGGGTGTAGGCATCTGTCTGTCATCGTCACTCTTGGCTACCAACTTGAATCAGGTCAACTGGCACATGCCATGGCACACATCAATTCAATACATGCCTATGGGCTTGTTTTGATATGCATTAAAATGTCACTTTTTAAAATCTTTAGTGGCAGCATCCTCCTTTACTTCTGACATTTATCAGTCTGATTACCAATATAGCAGCTGATGTCAGCATACAGCCGCCTCCACCACCACCAAGACTCCGTCCAGAAATAGAGTGGTGATAGGCAGGAGGGTTGGCACATTAACATTGTCATGTTCCATTCCTTTAAATGCACTATAGTTTTCAGACGTTACCAAAGCAGTGAGACTATGATTTCTCTGATCACTCATCAGGTCATTCCTGGTAAGAAGTATGCGACACGTGTGGCCCCTAACCATCTGAATGTTTACATAAACCTGGCCAATCTTATCCGGGCCAACGAATCCCGCCTAGAGGAGGCCGACCAGCTCTACCGACAAGCAATCAGCATGAGACCAGACTTCAAACAAGCCTACATTAGCAGGCAAGATTTTTTAAATTTTCTACCCATCAGATTTCATGAGTATGATTTATCAATCTTCATTCTTCCCGCACATACAGTAGCTTCAAATGTTCAGTCTGTTCTATCTGGAGCACCACAGCATGTCTTCTATTGTTTTTCCAACTTTCCAGTTTAGAGGGAACAAGTTACAAAATGCCAAATGATTCGTTCAGCCGCCTACAGTGGCACAAAAGAATTCTTCAATTTAAATTCAGTACCCTCTTCATGTTGCAACACCAACAAGACCTTTTATAATTATACTGTACTGTCTACTGACATTTCTGTTGAACAGTGTTTCCTTGTAAACTGATCTTATCTTTTGTTTGACCTTTCTACTGTGAGAGAAGTGCTATAGTGTTTTTAAGATGTCACTTAATTACTGCCTGCAATCAGGCAAGACGAAAAAAACATTTGCATAACTAGTCTGGTTTTTCTGGTATTTCTGGACAGGGTTTGCTATAAATCATCCATTATGTAAAATAATTATCATGCCATGATTCCTGATTTCTATGTGTGTGTGTGTTATTTTCATTTATTGGATTTCCTTTTCTTTTTTTTGACCCAGAGGGGAGCTACTGCTAAAGATGAACAAGCTGACTGAGGCCCGGGACGCCTACCTCCGAGCCTTGGAGCTCGACCGCACCAACGCCGATTTGTGGTACAACCTGGCCATCGTCAACATTGAGATGAAGGACCCTTCAGAAGCCCTGAAGAACTTCAACCACGCCCTGGAGCTCAACCCCCGCCACAAGCTGGCGCTCTTCAACTCAGCACTCCTCATGCAGGAGTCTGGTGAGTTAGGTCCTGCCAGGTCTTGCATTGAGGAAGTGAATAGTTAAAAGCTAATCTATTCACAAACTGAAGTGCAAATAGGGGTCAGCTTGCTAATGCAAAGGATTACTTGGCACTTCAAGGGCTTTTTTTTATTTTTTATTATGTCAACTGGTATGAACAAAGGAAATAACTTGATACTACCTTTAGGGTGTGACCAGGTTCTTAAGAGTTTGCCCTCATGCTGAAATGAACCCTGCATGCACCGAGTTCATGGCCAAGTTTCTGTCCGGTCACACTTCAATGACTCTGAAAAAGAAAAAAAACATTATGGATGACATGTCTATTACATTTTATTTAGGGTGGTTCCAACAAAATTAACAAAGAGGTGAGTCATTAAAGTAGCAATATATCTTGTCATCGGAGCTTGTTTTCTGTCACGCTCACCTCAGCAGAACTCTGAGACCAGCCAACCTCTGAAACAATGTCATCACAGGTGTAAAGCTTAGAGGCCCCTTTGATTGATGGAGCATCAGATACTTTACTTATTACAGGATTAGTAGGATTGTGACATGTATTTATTTAAGAACAAGTATTTAAAAAAACAGTCTTTAAATAATATTGCCCCACATGCTCCATTTTTGCCAAAATCATGCGGCTTGCTTCCTCCACTTTTCAGGTTTTATTTTTCAAAAATGGAAGCATCACATTCTTTAATGTTTTCTCCACTTAATGGCGACAGTTAGAGATTGTACATGTGAATGAACAACTCATATACATGTGATTTGATTGTTTTTACATACTGTATTCTCCAGGAGCTATTTATTTCTATAGTGCATTGTTAATACTCAGCTATCTCTCAGATGACAAATCAGATGACAGATACAGTTCAACAAAGGGTCACTTGTATGCTGCAGCACTACACACTGTGTATCCTTAATGGCCAGTACAAATGCTTTTTGCTTTTTGAACATTTGAACAGCTTTGTCAACTAATCCTTCTAATTTTTGATTTTCTGCAGCAAGTGGCCAGGTGCACACAGGTGTGCATGTGGGCAGAGCTCTAAGCATGCCACAAAGTATTCTCTTCTCATTCCTCACATTCTTACGTCCACTTCTTCTTTTTTGTTTTCTTTTTAAATCACACCAGTTATCTCAAGATTTTATGGAGGCTTGCTTTGGGAGAGGTTTAAATATTCTCAACCCAAAACAGAATCAGGCTCTTTAGGATATATGTACCAGCTTTTTTAGGATATATTCTCAACAAGGTAGGAGTTAGTTTTGTTTTTCACCAGATACTTTTCTTAAAGCACATTTTGGCCTTTGACATTAAATCCAAACATTAACCAGAATCCAGACTATAATTAACTGTAGACTGTGTGAATTAATATCAGTAGTGGATCATGAAAAAAAAAAGACACTTTATACTGTATTTGTCTCTGCTTCCTGTTGCAGGTGAGCCAAAGTTCTGGCCTGAGGCTAACCGTCGCTTCCTCACCTATGTGGAGGAGGAGCCTGACGATGCCAATGGCTACTTCAACCTTGGCATGCTGGCCATGGATGCCAATGAAAATGCAGCAGCGGAGCGGTGGATGCGTAAAGCCATTGGTTTGCAGGCCGGCTTCCGCAGTGCCCTGTTTAACCTGGCGTTGCTTTACTCTCAGTCCAAACGCGAGGTGGATGCTCTGCCTGTGTTGGACGAGCTACTGCGCTACCACCCAGAGCACATCAAGGGCCTGATTCTAAAGGGCGACATCCTCATGAACCACAAGAAAGACACCCGTGGTGCTAAAATCTGCTTCGAGCGCATCTTGCGGATGGACCCCACCAATGTGCAAGGCAAGCACAACTTGTGCGTGGTCTACTTTGAGGAGCGTGACCTGCCACGGGCCGAGCGATGCTTGGAGGAGACGCTGGCCCTGGCGCCAAACGAGGAGTATGTGCGTCGTCACTTGAGCATTGTGCGAAGCAAAATGGCTGCCATGAGCGCAGCCGGGCAGCCACTTACTTCATCAGAGGGTGCCACTGTGACAGCTAAGGAGGAAAAGCCGAAGAGAGTTAGGGAGGGAGCGGAGGAAGTTGCTCAGGGTGAGGAGGAAGGGAGGGTTGCTGAGACTGTTGGAAAGGGGGCTGAGGATGACAAGAATGTGCGGAAATCCTCTGCAGAAAGCCTCGAAGGTGTGGCCGTGGACCAATCAGAGTCTTTGGACAGTAGCCAGTCTGACAAGCGGACTAAGGGTAAGTCCACTAAAGAGATTAAAGATATAGAGAAAAAAAGGGCAGCTGCCTTGAAGAGACTAGAGGAGATTGAGCGCATATTAAGTGGTGATTGACATTGTTGTAATTTATAGCTGGACTACTTTTATAGAGCTCTTTAATGCTCCAGGATAAGACTGCATTTTCCCCCTCTTAGAAATATGTATTCTTAATCAGTTGCCATTTTATTTCTTTTGATTTAATCACGTGTTTGCAGACCGCTCAGCATGGTCCTGCTCTAACACTAATCCTATAAAGAAGGGAAATGTTGATCTGCACATGAAACTCAACAATAAGCACAAAGCCAATTTGGGATGATCTATTTAAAGCTTATGGCAGATGTAGATGCCTATGTGTGTGCTTCATCTGAACGTGATTTCACATATCATAGTTATAAATATTTGTTTTGTTTTTCCAAGTGTAGTCATTGTTTATCACTGGATTTTTTTTTATCACTAAAGATGTGACTCACTCACTGTGTGTTATTGTTTTTAAAAACAGAATGATTGTATCATGGACAATTAAAGGAAATGACGTGGTCCCCAAGATTTCCTCCAGGCAGGATGATATCTGCAGAGTTTGTGCCTCTAAATAACCCAAACCACACAGAGAAAAATAACCTTCCTCACTACTTCAACACCAGGCTTATGTTCCCTTTCAACAATGTCTGCTAATCTTTATTGATCTCACCCGGCACTTCCTGCCACTACATCATCAGCCCCTGTGCTCGCAGCTGCCTCAAAATTTCATTGTGATCCCATCTAAAAGACTGTTATCTCATTCCCTTGGTCACATTACCCCCTCAGATCTCCACGCCTGTCTGCCATCCTTCAGACACTACAGCCTAATTAGAGTTGATTTTTTTTTTTTTTTTCTCCCTTCCTCTGCTTTTCTTGGTAAACTGTCCCATACACATGGCTTTGACCTGGGCAACACCCATTTTATGTGACGGTCAACAATGACGCACTTTCATCCTCAGCGTCAGGCTTCATCATGTGTTCTTCATTTTCCAAAGTTCCTTCCACTTCATAGGGGGAATTTTCACAGCACATTTGCAGAAAACAGACCTTCTCCTTCATCCTGCTCAGCAGAGGAGATGATGTTTTAGTTTACTGGCACTAAAATATCATTGGGATGTTCCACATTTTCAAGTTTTTGTAGTAGCTGAATCGAAAAATAATCCCTCTGTAGTTACTACCACTGTTCAAAACTGCTACAGGCAAGTACACAAATTAAGACTTGAAAAGAAATGAGAGATGCACAAATGTCTCCTGCCCCTGTTTCCTCAGGCTTTTCTCACCACGACGCCACTATAAAACCCAGCGCCTGCTTGGCTGCTTACCAAGAGGTCTGATGATTTAAACAATATTCTCCTCTGATTGAGAGCCCTTGAAGAAATAGGCCAATAACTGATCATCAAAACACTACTGTGACTGCACAAATGGTTAACAGCGTAGCCCCATTGGGAGCCCTGATAGTCAGTAACTTGACATGAGCAGACTTGATTGGGGCTGTGAGGCAAGTCAGCAGTGTCCAATTCATCACGCTCATTAAAAAGCAAATTAAGTGGAAGTGTTTCTTTCTTCTGAGCTGATGTTATTGTCTTCACAGCTCCCATGATGTTCCTGTTTTCGCTTCACAGTGCAATAATGTGTTTCAGTGCGATGACTCTGCTCAGTGCAATTCTTCAAAGTAGAATTAAGGAGAGAAGACTGATTACTGTAAGTTCGGAGCACTGTGGTGGTACTAATTAGCCTTGCTATGCATTGACCTTGTTTAGCCCTGATAATTCTATGTACATATATTTACAATGTACTTGTATCCAGTGTTATTTATTATTTTTATATGCACTGCAAATGCTGTAGATGTTTTTTTTTGGGGTTTACCAATGCTTTAAATTCATGGTGCATTATTTTGTCTCTACTAATTTTCAACATGTACTGTCACTTGTAAAACGTGTTATGTATGTTTTTCACCTTTAAAATGTGTCCTTTTTTTTTTTTTTCATTTTTTCAAACAACCTGTCAGTGTGAAACATGTATGAAACATTCAACCAACTGCCTGTCTACCCCAAAACAAGTAGGTACAGCTTTGAATGAGGAAGCAGTTTGCAACATTATTCTTTTTCACTTCATTTTGCTGAGTGACTGGTTTTTGTACGATTTAAGATTTTTTTTTTTATGCAATAGCCCTTGGTGGTGGGGGTCTAGGTTATTAAATAAAGTGAGATGACAACTCATCACTTTTGTTCGACTGTGTCTGTTTACAACATGTGTGCAGTAAAACAGAAGCCGCAGACGTATATGTTGATGAAACACATGCGTCGTTCACATCATGCCACAGCAGCATCATGCCATCCTCTGCAGGATGTTAAGCCCAGTGCCAATCCAATTTTGAATCACAAATTGAGTTCCACATTGAAATCCAATGTACCAGGAGTATGCTGCTGTTAGCCTCTCTGACCAGTTGAATCTTCAGTGTAATGTTATTTAGAAATACACGGAATCTAATGCAACTTCCTACCCCCTGACATGATTTGACTTTCTGCACTGGTGCAGTGACTGAAGAAATGTAAAGAAAATGAAAGGGTTTAGTTTGTTACAGTGTGTTTACTTTGCTCTAAGCTGAGGCCTGTACTACAAAGTTCAACATATCCTGAATATCTTTGTTATTGGGCTTAACTGAACCTAACATCAGCCGTCCTGGATAACCTTTACTACAACGCAGATTATCAACTGGGCCCTGGCTTTTCTTATCTGCCTACGATTGCATTCATGTGAAAGAGGCCAAGCTATTTGTTATGATCCCATGAAGTTAACCTGCTCCAGAGCGGGTTAAGAGTTCAACATAAGTTGCCATGGTGATTTAAGAAGTGAAGCAAAATCGTAGGACTGAACGCAGGGTTAAACCTTAACTCGCCAACCTCAAATCCTGCATCACAGTACAGGCCTCCGGAGATGTAGGACTATAGTATTTCTTTAGGGTAGGGAGTTTTAAGGTCAATTCACCTAAATTAAAAAATGGGTCTTTATCATTATTATTTTGTATGTACCTATAGTGATATCTAACTAAGTCTAACTGGAGGTTTTTCGACTTGCCCAGGGTTTTGAAATATCTGAGTTTTCTCAGACCTCAATACAGTGAAGGTGAACACAATTTAGTTCATGGTGTTTACAACTGTGAAAAATTACATTAAAATCTGAACAGTTTTATATGTTTAAAGAATCAGTAACTTCATCATTCTATTCGATCCACAGAACGCATGAACAGCTTTTATACAGTGGGGGCTATTCTTTCAGTAGAAAGACAAATTAGACTTTTTATATGTAATTTTGTTAATGCGATGAGCACCACAAATGCTATTCCCATACAATGTACTGAGATAGATGTAGAAATCGCAAAGGGCCTCTGACAAACCTGGATATATAAAATACAAACTGTGTGCATGGTTTAGAAAAGAAGTGAGAAAAATATTTAAGTATCTAGTACACAAGGATCAGGCACACAAATTAACAGGCATTCTCCATAAGAAAACAGTTGCAGACATATGTTCTAAAAACATAAGCATAAAGTTACATCCTACTTTCCTGTCCCTCAACTATTGGCATGGATTGGTTTGCAGCACTGAGTAGTTGGTGACAGGGAATCGGGGGACAAATAGGAAAGATGGAGAAGCCAATTGGAATAAAGCGTTTGGATATTAATGTCCATCAAGATTTCAGTGTGTAAAGCCTCTTTTAATAACGTTTAAACAGTGTGGAAATGAAGCATCACAGGAAATCAAAGTGAAAGCTTGTCAACACTGAGCCAGAGCCAGAGCCAGATCTGTCAGCATGACTGGAGCAGAGTGTAACTGTCGAGCTGTCAGTCACAATGTGCCTTTCATGCAGTGTGATGTGCTGTTGGCCTGAACACTGCTTCAGGGCGTTTGCTGTCACACATGCTTGCTGCGCGGTTATTATCTGAGGCCTGAAGTGCATTCAGAAAGTATTCAGATCCCTTTACTTCTTACACATTTTATATTGCAGCCTTATGCTAAAATCAATTAAATTCAAGTTTTTGCAAATTTATTAAAAAGGGTCAACTGAAGTATCACTTTGACTTAAGTATTCAGACACTGGCAAAAAGGTGAAAACTGAAACCTTGAGTTTTCCTGAATGGAATGACACCACAAACTTTGCATGCCTGGATTTGTGGATTTTCTGCCACTCTTCTCTGCAGAGCCTCTCAGGCTCTGTCAGGTTGGATGGAGACCTTCTGTGGACAGACATTTGTAGGTCTCTCAAGAAATGTTCGATTGGGTTTAAGTCAGGGCTCTGGCCGGGCCAGAGTTGTCCTAGGCCACTCCTGGGTTGTCTCGGGTGTTTAGGTTCATTGTCCTGTTAGAAGATGAACCTTCGGTCCAGTCTGAGGTCCTGAGCGCTCTGGATCAGGATTTATGAAGGCTATAGCTGTATTTTGCTCCATTCAGCTTTCTCTCAACCCTGACCAGTCTCTCTGTCGCTGCTGCTGAAACACACCCCCAGACAGGTGATGAGCAGCCCCTGGTTTTCCTCCAGACATGATGCCTAGAAATGAAGCCAAACAGTTCAATCTTGAGGTGTACTCATAGTCTAAGAATCCTTTAGTTGCCTTTTTTTATTTTTTACAAATCCCAAGCAGCTTTCATGTGAGCTTCCATTTATTATTATGATTGATGGCCATTATCCAAGGCGCAGCAGCAACTCTAGCAGTGTGGACACACATGGCTCTGAGTTTCAGCAGCAGTTCAGCAAAGTAGCTATCATGGACAGGTGAGGTAAGTGGTGCGGCACAGGTTTTAGCCGCTTTTCCTTTGCTTCTTGAAAGTGGAAAGTTCAGTGGGATGATGGTGTTTTAAGTGTCAGATTAAGTTTGTTATTCCAAATGTTTTCATGGTTGATCCTCCACATCTAACTTTGGTCGTATAAAAAATATTGAGCTTTGTGTCTTCTGAACTCACGGTGAAGAACTTCCACGCCATTGGCATGTTGTGTGTGTTTTTAGCTGTGTCTGTGCTGTTGTGTTCACAACATGAACCACTGTGTGGCCCATGAGTGTAAATTTCACCGGCACAGAATCAGATATCTGAGACTGATCAGCCGGTCACAGATCATATCCACTCACACTGAAAAACCGGCCTTTTCCAATCACCAGCTGATCGATCTGTGCATCTCTACTTTTTACAGTTGAAAAATAAACCATGTCAGTACTCTTTGGTGGATAAACTATGCGATGGCAACGTTTCCAAATCAGTTTGCACAATTTGTTAAGAGTAAGTTAACACCAGTGTCTATCTGCCCTCTCCCATGGAAAGTTTCATGTCTGGTTCAGTTGCTAAGTTACTCTTTAATTAACATAAGAGCTAAACTCAAAATCGTCTGTTCTAGAATTAATTCCATTTCTAAAGGCTATACAAAACTTTGGAGGGTGGTGCGTGCAACCGCGCATCTTATGCTTTTTGTGCATAATTCTGAGCTGATATCAAACCATTCACTCACATGCAGTATCTGGGTACAGTATGAAAGACATGCCTGTATACACAAACACTGACTGAATGACCCTAGTTATAACTTCTGCTGGATGACTTTGCTTTTATCTCAAACCTTCAGGAATGTAAGCCTGCAGTATCGGGTGCTGTTGAGACACAGGCTGATGAACGGGGTCAGTACATCACTCAAAAAAGCAGAGCATCTTCTCAGGGGGAAAATGCTCAAGGCTTTAAGTTCATTTTCATCTTTCAGTGGGATGCAGCATTAAGATAAACACGTGAATGCATACATTACAATCAGCATTAGTAAGCCTTGCATTTTTCTTTTCGGTATCCTGGGAGATGGACAGAGAGTTAAGAAACTTATGACTTAAGAGTTTGAAATGCTAATGGCTCAATTTCAGCTGTGTGCTTGACCAAGGTCTGACTTTAAGGACACTGGACTGAATCCTCAGACTGACAAGTGCAAATGAGATGTAAATGCAGAGATGGAGGATCACTCTCCCCCACACTGAGTAATTACTTCCTTTCTGCCCTTGATGAAGAACACAACACGACACGACTGAAATTATATCTGTGGTTCCGCTTTACAGCTCTCAAATATGTGTGAGCGGATGGCAGCACTTTCTGTGAAACAATAAATATCCATAGTTTATTTACTTTTTATTCACTCAGGGGAAATGTTTGCTTAAGAGGTTATCTATAATAGGTGGTTGTGTGGCTTTTAAGTACATGCCTGTCTAATGGTGAGACTTGAGCTAGTCAACAGCCAGACAATTACTGGCGTCTTCTTGAAGTCACCGTCTCTGGTTTGCCTCAAAACGTAAGACTTAAAGTGGGACAGAATTAGCTGGAGGTTGAGCATAATTCTTTACTGGCTTCTTGGAGGGTCACACCACAGAGGTACTGGTAAATAAAATAACAGACATCAGTACAGCGCTTGAATTGGATTAACAATAGTGCCAGTATAATACAGTATACTAAAATTAATTCATGTGCACAACTGATAACTTATATAACGATGAACTTCTTATCTGAACTCTTACCCAGTAGCTTATCTATCTACCCACATATCGAGTCTTTATTGCTGCACATTTTTTTCCTCTTGCAGCTTGTTTGACCAACACTGCTCTGCACCAGTCAGTATAAATCTGTTATGCTAAGCAATTTAACTAAGTAATGTCTTTATCAAATCAGAATTTGTCAAAAAGTAGGTCATTTTTTGTTTTTTAGAACTTTCTAAAGTCCTTTTCCTTTAATCTTTCACAGCACCAATCACTGTAACTCTGTTAACTATCTGAAGAGAAAAAAAATTGACAAAGAATGTCACTGCCAAACTAGAACAAATGAAAAGGATGAGGGAAAGTCTCTTTCCTTTTGCTTCCAGTCGATTTGAGGAGAGAAATAACATTCTACTTCTACTCTGTAATACACATTTGTGAGCTTTTAAGCCTATATGCAGTACATACACATGCGCAGCCTGACCTCCTATGATAACACTGTGCTAGCTATCTAGCTAAAGCACAGCGTGTGGATTCCTGAACACGAAGATTCAATCTAATTATCATTATATAACACAAGATTTTATAACAAAATTACAGATTACAGTCCCTTTATGCAACTCGCAGAAAAACAAAGTTATATAAATGAATTAATAAATAATCAAGTCATAAAAATAAAATTATTTTCATGGTGGAGTGTGGAAGATGAATTCAGTAAGTCTCACAGCC